CTTCTATAGGTTTGTTTAAATGTTCTGTATCAGTTTAATTATGAAAGTATCGCATATTTAAGGGATACTGTAAAAGCTTCAGTCTTTCTGAAGTTTTTCACACCCTTTAAAACTCCTCAGAAGGACACAGAGAGAGTTGTTGTAGTGACATCTGTAACTTATTGTATGTGTGGGTTTAAAACACAAGGTGTTGCTCCAAGCCTCGAGGGCTTCTCTCACCTCCCGGCTGGGTGATCCCGTTCAGAGCAGTGTTCCAGCCTGGAGCCCCTGGGAGCTGCCCAGAGCCCATTTGAATGGCACAGGCTCCATGAAGCAGCAAAACGAGGCTGGTACTTACCCTTTTAGCTACTGAATCAACACAGGAGACCACCTTTCTCGCATAATTTTGTACCAGGAAAGTACATAGGTACCTTTAGAGTATCTGATATTTGTTTTGGTGGTGGTTTTCTTCTTACAGAAAATATTAAAGACAAGAACAAGCCCCAAGCCTCTTCTCGTGCATATCGTCACATTCGGAAAAAGAACGGGGTTGAAGAAGATGACGCTGCTGCAGACCTGGAAGTGTCTGAGCTGGAGAAATGCAGAGACCATCTGAATTCCATATTTGCCCACTGGGAGCCTGTTTTCCCAGCATCACCTTCCAAACAGGGAGGGGAGCCCCTCAGGCCCGGTGACCTTGGGGATGACTCATTCAGTCTCACCTGTGCATCCACTCTCATGGTCACGAAATGGCTGGTGAAGTCCATGGTGGAGTACAGCCTCAGTGAGCAGAACGTGTCACTGATGCTGCGCTGGCTCCAGGGTTGTGTTGTGCCACAGCCGGCGGCCATGTGGGAGATGCTTAGGGATGAGACACTGAGGAAGAACCTTTTCAAGTTCTACACCCGGGTCTGTGAGGCTCAGCTCTCCAAAGAGCTCCCTGTGCTCAGCTCCATCATGCTTCAGCTCATGGATGCTCAGGGCCTGGCCAACAGCTTCCATGAGCTTGTGAAATCCTTGTGCCTCTCAGCCACGACAGAAGAGGATGAGAACAAGAAAGGTAACTTGTCTCTTCCTTATCTCTCTTGTTACAAGGCAGTAGTGGGAGGAAGTAGGGAGTTCCATGGGGTTTTTTAATTCAACAGACCCTTTTGAAGTTTGCCCATGTCCACTGGAGCTCATAACCTTCCAAGGCAGAAGCTGTATGTGTGATGGAATGAGCTCAGGGTGGGCAACATAGAGAAGGGTCACACTTGTGGGGCTTTCTGACAGTACAACACTCATACTCCCACAAAGAAACTTCCCTTTCAAGGACTAAAATGGAGTTCAGTTCAAAAAATACCATTCCAAGGGGAAAAACAGTCTGCAACAAACAAGTCCACGTGGCCATGGGTGCTGATCCATGTGCTGGTCAGTGTTAGCAACTGACAGATTTCAAACTGTTTTATTTAAGGAAGCTGACAGGAAACTGGTTTGTTTCCTTCGTGTGAGAGGAGTCATTGGCTTTGCATGGGCAAAACCCCCCCAGATTTTCCATCTAGGGAAACAGGAAGCTATTTTAAACTATAAGTCTGGAGGTAAATGGTTTAATATTACTATGTGGAAGTATCTGTTCTGATTTTTCTTAATTTGTCTTCCACAGCTGTTTGTGTATTCCTGACATCCGTTTACATCAAGGACATGTGGCTTGGAGCACGGGAGCCAGATATGTTAATAACTCATGTCAGATTGATCTGCACTAGTGCAGATGGTGAAATAAATGGTGATGACTTGGAAACTCAGGAACAAGGAGAAGAAACTATTACGTCTCTTTGCAAAACCCTTTGCTTGGCAACATCAGGGCATTAATTCAGGGAACTGACTCTTCATCTTTAATGTTCTGTGCTCTGCCATCGTCGCTGTGAGCCGTGAAACCCTCCTGAGCTGTCCCCATACAGACCTGACTGGTTTGGTCATAAAAATCAGTGTTTTATTATTTTTTACTGAGCAAACTCAGAGGGGGAAAATTGTATTCATTGTCTCTCAGTGGGACATTAAAGTTCCAGTTTCCCTTTTCTTGAACAGTATGGGAACACGACATTTATATAATTTTTATTAAGGCATTTTTAACTTTATGAAGAACCAAAAAGACTGTTTCCTACACTCTGGACCTGTGTCCAGACACAGTTCCAGTCCCTGTGTCGTTGGAGTCCGTCCTCTCTCCAATATAAAATGGGGAAAAAAGGCTGAAGAACGTCCCACAATGTGGTGTAAGTGCAAAGAAGGAGGAACTGGAGATTTAGCCATGATGATTTACTATTTCTTGAAGAACCAAGTTTATTTCATACCAAAACCAGTGTGAATAAAAGACTGAACACTGGAATCATGGTGGTCTGTGATTCTTCTTGGTTTTAAATGATATGGCTTTTGAAAGCATTTATATCGGAGCTGGTCTATTTTTATTATCCTTGTTTTTTCTTAAATTAAAAAAAGCCCTGACCATCATGGCTGCTGGAACTTGCAGCAAAGGCCCATCTTCTCTCCACTTGGAACTGGTGGGAGATGGAACTAAAGCCCAAGGGACTTGCTGCTAATTGATAATTTGTGGGTTTTAGTGGGAATTCTCTGTGAAATCTGATAGATAGTTCTGGAATGTGGCCTCGAGGGCAGGTGAACACAACAGTCCAGATCTGCAAACACCCAGGACCTGAAGCTTTGAAACCAGGATTTATTAAATTGGCTCACAACTACATGCTGTGTCCAGGTCCTTTGTACAAATTCTGTAGAGGGAAAAATCAGAATTGCACGTTCCTTGTGATGTGTATTGAATTTGTTGTGGTTTTTAAATAAAAAACATGAGACCCCAAGTAATGAGATTGCTTTTACATTTGAATATTCTTAAAGAAGCTGTCAGCTCTATCAGGACATGAGTTTAAAATAATATTTCTTAACAAAGCTGAAAGCCCCGTGGAGACTACATTTTGTTTCAGGGGGCTGACATCTGGAAATGTGTGTGAAGGAAAAAACCCTTTTTTTCCTTGCTTACAAAAACCAAACAGGCACAGTGAAACCAAAGGAGTTCCAAAACAAAAGATGTCTTTCCATCTCACCTAACTGTCAAAGAAAATACCCATGACACAAAGGGAAGGGATTTTTTGGTTGTCTCGAGGACCTGAGCACACCCCACAGTGGTTTATAGTATGATATGTTGAGATAATTAAAGAAATGAGGTAAGAGCATTCCCCCAACCCAGGGATAAGGAGGGATCACAGTGTGAATGTGGCACTTGGGGACGTAGGTTAGTGGTGGCCTTGGCAGTGCTGGGGAACAGTTGGATTTGACCTTAGAGGGCTTTTCCAGCCTAAACAATTCCATGATTCTCTGATTCTAATGGAGGACTCTTGGGGGCAGGGGAAATAAAGTGCTCCCTGTGGAAAGCAAAGCACTGGGAAGCTTTGAAATGGGTACATATGGAATGTCACAGGAGCAAATGCGTTGCTTCCCCCCTCCTCCTCTGCCCCCAAGTTGGGTGCTATAAGCCAGGGTTGTGTTTTGCATATTATTTATTATTGTTTATATACTTCATACTGTATTTCCAGGTAATTTGAAAGTTAACCACTAAAAAGATCTTTTTTATTTTTTATGTGCTCCAAGCCACATTCCAGTGCAACCCATGGAAGAACATCTGTTGTCATGAATGAGAGTATCCACATCTTCCAGAAATCCCCTTGAAATCCCCTTGTGGAGTGGAGGATCTTAAAAAACAGGGTGATACAAGTCTGTCCTGAGTCAGGGAGGAGGATACTGGAGCAGGCAGGCCGTGCAGAACTGGTCAGGAGAGAGGTTCCAGCTGAGGGCATACAGGTGGGGCAGGAATGGTTGAAGCTGCTGCATCCTTAGGAGGAAAATGGGTCTGGATGGTCAGGTTTTCTTCAGAGTGTCTTTGATGACACTGTGTGACTGCAGTGGAGTTACTATTGCAAGTAATTCCTAATTTGCAGTGGGAGAGCTGGTGCCAGCAAGGGAGTGGATTCTTATCTCCTGTGAGAACTCCCTCAGCTCTGGCAAAGGGTGAGGGTGCCCCATGAGGAGGGGGAGGCTGTTGTGGCCATCTGAGTTGGCTAATGGAAACACTTGGCTCTGATACCTCTGTCCATGCTGCACCATCAGTTTCTGCAGCCTTTCCTCGTTTCTCCACACTCAGTGTGGAAAACCACCCGGCAGCCTTCACACGTGGGTGGGTTTCTGAGCCCAGCACCACTCAGTCAGTTTGCTCACAAAGCAAACTGCAGCAGTGCCTTATCTCTGGGGCTAAATAAATCTGAAGATTTAAAAACCAAACCAGCAATACAAATATCTGCCTGGTGGGTTTGGTCTGTCTCTTGTGTTCAAGGCTTTGGTAATGCAGCCCAACCCACCCACTCTGGCATCATCCTGGCCCACACTCCCACATGAGGCTGCTCTGGCAGTGCTTCCCTGGAGGAGTTTTTGCTGCCTACTTGGGGATGTGGAATTTCTATGCTTCTCCTCAAGTTTCAAATGAGTTTTGTGTTGTACTTAGCCCAGGAACTTGCTGTGCAGCCTTACCTCTCTTCCAGCCCTCGCTGCCTTCCTCAGCCTGACTCTGCAGACCAGCTTTGTGCTTCCCAGAGCTCCGAGGACATCTCAGCCTCTCCAGTTCTGCCTGCATTTGGTGGGGAGGAGAGCTGGGAAGAGCCAAGGCCACTGAAGGGAGAGGGAATGTGAGTGTCTCTTCTTACTCTGCTCCAGCTGAGCTGGACCCATCCCCTCCACCTCACCGAAACACTGCCGTGACCCTCAGTAGTTCTGTCAAACTATTCATCACCCTCGTGTAGAAATGTAGTGTTGTTTTTGTGGTTTTGCCAGCATTTTCCTTTGATATAAAATACATTCTCTTGATAAATGACACATATTCCCTTTTTCCAACACCTTTGTAACTGGCAGATACCATTTCAAGACTGTTCAACACTGACAGTTTCTTTACCATTGACCATTTCAAAAGGGAAGCAAAAAGCAATTGGTTGTTGGTAGCAAAACTGTATTTCCAGGTAGCAAGTAAAGTAACTGTTTATTCAGGAAGATAATTAGTGCAAACCACCACATGCCATTCACTTTTTAAAAGCTCTTCTAGATAAACAGTATTTTAATAAATTTTAAGTAACGAAATATTTTTTTGCAAAAGTAAATAAAGGATATGTTCTATTCTTGGGGCGAGTGCTGAGCCATTTTACTCAAATATGGCCATTAGGACCTCCTCTTATGCATCCAGGGTTTTTCAGGTTTGTTCTTTGTTGAAAGACATTTTCCTTTTTTTCCTGAATCCAGGTGATTAACAGGCAGTCACAGCACTGAGCTTTTCTCTGCAGCCATGGGAACTGCGCTGCTGGGTTGGTTTGACCTCTTCCAGTTTTATCTCAGGCTCAGATCCTTCCAGGAATGCCCATTTCATCCGAAAGGGAGATAGGTGTTTAAGAAGCAACCACATCTGAGTATGGGCTCCTGAGGTCATCACAGTGAGGCTGTTCCCCATTGGAACTGCTTTCTTCCATCTGGCTCCCTACAATCACTTGTCTGGAATGTGTGGACAGAAAAAAGTACAGCTATCAGGAATGTGTTTGGAAGAGAGACAGTCTCAGTTTCAACAGGAAGTACATCAAAGTTTTAAGAAATAAAGAAGATGCTGCTTCTAACACAGAAGACATTGAATCCAGCAGGAGAGAAGCTCTTGGACTTTAGCCCTCTTCATCCACCATGAGAACCATGTCCTTGCCTGGAAATGGAGTATGACCAACAGGAAAGGTATGAGGTGTTTCCCTTCTCTCCCTCAAGATGGGGCCTTCAGTCCAGCCCTTAATTCGGTCCTTTAGTGAGATTTTTAAAGAGGAAAGTAGAAACTTTGCTATGACTTTCTCTGTACCAAGGGTGGAGGGAACTGTCACTGCTGCTTCCGGGGAAGCAAAGAGGGATAAGAGCTTCCTGAGACTGTGAATGGGTGTCACTGGGGACAAGAACAAGAGGGATGTGAGATATTTGGGAAGGATTGCCTGATACTGGGGTTGGGGAAAAACAAGACAGCTCTAAGGGCTGGTGGAGAACTGACCAAGGAAATGGGATAGACCTAGAAAAGAACAGATAGGACTCACGTAGCAGGAAATGTACAAACAATAACAACTCAAAGATGTGTGGTTCTGCCAGAAAAAGGAGTTAGTGGTGGGGTGGAAGGGGTGATATGAGAACAGCAGAGTGCACCTGCCTCCTCTCCTCCCTGAGCCCTCTTGCCAGCAGTTTCCCAAACTTCACCCTTAAAAAGTAAGTAGCAGATGAGTCCTGGCCTAGAAGCAGTAAGTTCTAGTTAACAGGGCTGAAGACAAGATCTCAACTACTACTGTGTCCTTAGGCATTCAAAGGTGGTGAGGGAAATTACACTGGGAAGAAAAATGTAACCCAAAAGTGACAATGGAAAATTTTTGAAAAGCCTTATTAATGTCCTGGAGCCATCCTGGCTTCAGAAGGGAGAAAGAAGACATTTTGGACTAAAAGCAAGTGTTTAATTGGCTACATAAAGCTAATAACCAAAATCTAAAAAGCAAGATAAAGCAAATGGGAGAAAGAAGTGAAATATAAACTTTATAACCTCAAATTTATATTACTTGCAAATGAAAGCTTAAAATATCTGTGCCTGACAAGACTAGCCCAACAGAGATTTTGCTTAATGGTAATTCAAAAAGCAGAAACAAAACCCCAAAGTCTCGGCAACAGGCCCAGCGCAGGTTTGGGAGTTTCTTTGCTATGCTGCCCCCGTATTCTATTCATTTCTCTTCTCTCTCTTTGACAGAAGCAAGACAAAAAAACTCTTACCAAAACAGGATGTTTCCAGTCCATTAAGTAGCTAAATACCATCAGTTAGCTATCCATGTTTTAAAATCAGCTGGAAAACTTGCATCTCAGAGACCCAGGGACTGTCTGAGGAGAACTCTGGCAGGGTCTGTTAATCATTAGCCATCCCTGGGACAGCAGGGAGGTTGGAGGAGGCTGGGAGAGTTCCAGAGTCCCAGTACTCAGAGTACTCTAAGGCAGTGCTGTGACTGACCTCGGCCAAGACAAAATCACAGAATTAAATCTGAGATAAGATACAACTGAAATAGTGATTCGAAGGGCAGTGCAGATCTAGAGAAAGCCAAGTGCAGTGAAAAATGTCTGATGTCATTTTTTGAGGGAAGCATGATTTGAAAGGCAGCTTCATATCCATGATTACTGTGAGGGTGATGAGGCACCACATCTAAACACTGAGTGGAGTTTCTGACTGCAGGAGATCTGTGTGGAGCCAGCAGAGCTCATGCTGCCAGGGAGCCCAGAGGCCCTGGAGTGAACCTCTCTGAGAGCAAGAGGCTGGGACGAGGGATGAGATAGAGAGATCTTCCAACTCTCTGGGCACCCAACTCAGGGCATTTTTCCAACATTACACTGTCTGGACAGCCAGAAAATTTGGGTTGTGGTGGCTGCCAGGAATGTATAGCCTCTAATGAAATGCATGGGAGACCAGTGTTCCTCTGGAGAGGTCCAGGAAGGAACTTGCCCTGTCCGCCTTCCACTGCCTGAAGGTCCAGCCTTAGCCAGGAACTGTCTCCAGCCACTAACCCTCACTTTTCTGCATCATTTTGGATGGTAAGAAACACCACTGAAGCAAGTGTTAGTACTGGCTCTGGATCCCAGCAGTGTGATCCTCAGTTGCCTTGGCACGCTAATGGGTTTGAAATCATTGGTCCCATGCCCCAGACCTTTTGTCTTATTTCTGTGAGATAATGTAATGGTGACAAAGGGGACTGGGACCTGGATTCCACAACCTCCTCCCCTCTTGCGTCTCAAACTCACCCATCAGACTTAGCACCAAATTCTTTGGTATTGCAGAGCAATGTGTGGTGCAATCAGATCACGGAGTCAGATCCAGGACCTCTCAGTGTCTCTAACCAAGGATTAAGCTGTGGCATAAGTAGATATGGGCCTTTTGGAAGACACTTTGACACTGGCTTGTTTTCTGTGTGGAGATGCAGGTTAAAAAAAGCAGACTCTGCTGTGGAGGGTGGTGTGACCTTGCCAAAAGAGGAGACCCTGGTGTTGCATAGCAGTGGTAGAGATGCAAAAATTGCATCCAAAGAGGCGAGACCAGCAGGATGAGGGAAGGGATTCTCCCTTTGTGCTCCACTCAGGTGAGACCCCAGCTCCAGCTGTGGGGACCACAACACAAAAAAGACATGGAGTTGCTGGAGACAGCCCAGAGGAGGCCATGGAGATGCTCCGAGGGCTGGAGCAGCTCTGCTCAGGAGACAGGCTGGGAGAGCTGGGGGTTTCAGCCTGGAGAAGAGAAGGCTCCAGGGAGACCTCACAGCCCTTTCCAGTGCCTAAAGGGGCTCCAAGAGCGCTGGAGAGGGACTTTGGACAAGGGTTTAGAGGGACAGAACAAGGGGTAATGGCTTCTCATTGCCAGAGGGCAGGGTTAGATGGAATATTGGTAAGAAGTTCCTCCCTGTGAGGGTGGTGAGGCCCTGGCATAGGTTACCTAGAGAAGCTGTGGCTGCCCCACCCCTGGAAGTGTTCCGGGCCAGGTTGGATGGGGCTTGGAGCAACCTGGGCTAGTGGGGGTATCCCTGTCCATGGCAGGGGGAGGTGGGACTAGATAATCTTTAAAGTCCCTTTCCACCAAACCCATGCTATGTTTCTGTGATCCTATGAAAACACAACCTTCAGGGACACCCCAGGGATCCAGCTGACCTGTGGTGGGGGTTTGCTCAACATTCCACTGAAGCACAAGGTGCGCTCGTAGGACCCGCCTGGCTCCTCTGACCTGGCCCTGAGCAAGCTGGGAGAGCACACAGTACCCTGCATGTCCCTGGGAGTGACAGAGAGATGGATGAGAACAGAAATGGTGAAGGTAAAAGTTCTCCAGCCTTGACCAGTGACGTGTGTGTGTGTTTGTTGGGTGAATGTATCAGAATTATCACAGGGAAAGAGACAGAAGAGACAGGAGGTTTCCATACAGATATCGGGTGACTGTCATGCCAAGGGTAAGGGGTGGATGACATAACAAAGAGGATGACAGGGGAGGCTGGTGGAAGTTTACAGGAATGATTTCTTCCAGACACCCCGTTCGGTTTCGTTGCTGGAACTGGGAGAAGGGTAACTGAAGGGGGGCTTAAAAACCAAATGGAACTCAATCAAAAAGGGCAAGTTTTGTGTGTGTGTGTTGAATACTCCCTTCAGTCCTAGAATTGTTTTCTTACAGTATATTTCAAGTTTAGAAAAACAAAAAGTCTAAGCAAATCTCATCCAATAGTGCTTTTCATTAATGATTCCTGGGCACTCCACGAAACATTCCTAGACTTGCCTTGTTCACAATAGCTCTTTTGAAGTCCAAAATTGAACATATCAAGGATAAATATGGATATTTTTAAGCCAAGTATTTCACTCAGTAACATGATGAAAAAGTGAAAAAAACCTTAAAAATCAATACTTTGTTTAAGTCTCCCAAACACACTGAGATTTTCATGTATACAGACTTCTCCTGCCAGTTTTTTAGGAATAGTAAATTATTGGGAACATACCTCCGCTATCCTGCAATTTTATTTCCATTTCCATGTTTCTTGTGTTGTTAGCCTGCCTCCTGCTTTGTGGTTTAGTTGGGTAAGCTGCCTTTTTTAATGTTATTGCTCCTTGAGAAACCAATGGATTTGAGCTGTGTTATGTCGCCTGCAAACCTCATCAGTTCTTTTTATGCAGGTGATTTATGCAAACAGTGAATGGCTGTGGGTCAAAAGACACTCCAATCAAATAATTACGTAAAGAGTGTCATCTCTGTGCAATTATAAATGTTGTATGTAACTGCTGGATCATTAAAGGCAGTGAATGTCTCAGGTTATTTTACCACACTGATCTGCACTTACTTTATGTCTGGTTGTACTTACTTTACTGGAGTTGATCCGGAGCGGGACATACACAGTAAAATAAGAAAAAGTAACGTCACGAAGGCAGCAAGTCCGACCCAGAAGGCGATGACAATGGAGTCTGTGGACACAACACAGTAATCCTGTCACCAGTACCACAGCAAATATAAAACACAGCAATATAATTTATGGTCTCTAATAAAGGTTCTCAATTGAACCACTTGATTGGTTCAATTTCTCCTTTTAGGGAGAGGCGTCTGAGTGCCAATTTGTTAAAGGTCGTGAGAGCCTCCTAAGAGTTTATTGTAACAGGGCAAGGCCAGGGCTGAGGGATGGGTTGGGAAAAGGCATCCAGTCAGTATGCTGGTGACTAGAGCTGTGCAGATATTTGGATATGGTTCCTTTTACATAGTCACAGTGCAGGATGCAGTGTGGTGCTGAAGCCTGAGCTGTTACTGCCAAATCCTGATTTTAGGGGAAAAAGTACAACGCAGGATCTTTAAGATGATGCCCTAAGGGAGGGAATCACAGCCTTGAAAGCACTTTATACCAAGAGAAATACCAAGGAAAGCTTGTTCAAAAGTGTCTGTGACCCTCACAGCACATCAGTGCAGTGGAAGAGGATGTGACCCTTGCCCTGTTCAGCTGCAGTGCTTCTGTAATCATCACAGAACAGTGCAAAAGGCTGCCTGCTTTATCAGGACCAAGTGGTTTCTTTAAGGAACAAGCAAGAGGATTCCCAGTGCCAAAGTATATGTTCCAAAGTGGGAAACGGGGGTATGAGGTGGCTGGGGGAGCAAAGGAAGCTGCTTTTTAATGAAGGCTACAGTGCTGTGTAAAGTACTGCCTGAGCCATGGGCTTGCTGAGAGATGGGATGAATCCACTCCTGCCCCAGGAGCACATTCAGTCACTGTTTCAAAAATGCTCCTTCCTGGGATCAGGGTGGGGGTGGCCAGTGCCCAGGTTAAGGCCTCGGGAAGGTTGGGTGCTCTGCCCTGAAGTCACAGCTGGCGACTCACTTCCACTGGGGTGAAAAGGAAGGGTCACTGACTCCAGAGACAAATATTGACCAAGACAAAATAAATCTTTCCTCTGAAAGGACAGAAAACACTATGTTCTTTGAAACAGGTCCAGTATGTTTGATTGGATGTTTCTTCTGTGAAGAAGTTCATCAGAGCTACAAAGAGATTAAGGGAGTTAGCCCAGCCCCTTTTAAACCTCAAACTGGGGCTGGCCCAGCTGTACCCTTATCAGAAAGCTGAGTTTTGGCTGGGCTACTGAGAAATATCAATGTGGAGGGGCAGCTTATTTATTCTTCCTCTGTTAAAGAAAGTTTTAATGACCTTTAATTCAGAGAACGTTAAATTAGCATGTGAAGGCCAATATTCTGACATGCTCTTCACCAACTTATTACGGAAAAAAGAAATGGGGTGATAGTGGCCAACCACGGCTCCTAAAGGGAGAATTAGGGGACTTCTGGTAAAAAAAAATCGAAAAAGTGTTCAAAGCCACTGGGACAGAAACGAAGAGTTTGGATTTACAGAATTCTGTATCAGAACTATTTTGGTTCCTTCTTTTAAGAGCAGATTTAATATGTTTCATGGAACTCACTGAAGTTAAATAAATTTACTCTAGGTCTCAGGGGGAGTTTGAACCAAAACTTCCTGGTTTTAAGTTCTGCAATTAGGATATTTTCTTAAAAAAAGTGGAATAATATATTTTAACAATCAATAAAAAGCTTTCCTATTGCTAAATTTTACCATTACCTTTTTTTGTGTGTGTGTGCATGTTTTTAAATAGTTTATTAGCTCATGGGCCAATTAAGCTTTTTAATTATTTTTATACAAAATGGAGAGAGCTGCACAACATTATTAATAGAAAACAAGACCACGATTTTACAGCTGGATTTAGATGCATTTTCATGGAAGAAACAATCTCACAAAGCTTCAGAGACCAGCCAAATAATGGAGGAAAGGAAGTGCAGAGATTCAGATCTCTGTTTTACATTAAATAAAAACAACCAACAGGCAAAATTGAATCAGGGAGCTCCAATCCCATCCCAGGGGTTATGGGAACTGCACGATTCACTTGGGCTGCCCCAGCAACGCTCCTGAACAAACACTCAGGTCCCATTGCAGTCACTCAGCAGAGACCCTCTGGAACATCAATATTTATTGGGTTACTCTGATCCTGGAGGCAGCCTACAATTTTTACAAACTTGGAATGCTTGTTGCTATCTGAGCAGAAATGACCACATTTCATCCTCAGTGCAAAAGGCAAGGACTTGCTGAACTTAATCCACCTGCACATCCCAAGAACATGAAGGCAATAATTCCAGCTGTGGCTTCTGGAGATATAAGAATGTAAATATTATGCAAACACAGGAAAACCTACAAAGTACATTCATTGCTTGACTGATGCTTTTACTCAAGTTAAAAACTAACCAGCTGTGGGGTTGTTTCCCTTGGTGTTTTCTTTTTAACTGGTAACCCACTGTTCTCACAGTGGTATTTGGAGAAGGAAGAATAATAGTACCAAGAGGATGCAGTCTCCATTCCTCCTGGACTGCTGACATGGCAAAATGTCAGTTTTCATCTCCTTAGAATATAAAAACACCTGAAAGGTGGCAGACTTCTCAGCTTCTTTATGGAGAGAAATAAGTGGAAAAAAACAAACAGTAAGAGATTGATTTGCCCTGCTTTTAATGGAAATAAGGATGATAAGATCACTCATAGGCACATGGGGTAATTTCTTCCACAAAACTCTCAACAAATTTAAATTAAACAGAGGTGAGCATTTTGTCTCAGAAGTAGAGTTTCTATGAATTTCAAGAAAACGGGCAGCTGAGTAGAGAGAAATACCCAGGGAGGAAAGTGCTGTAACACAAACACCACCCTTATTATATACCAGGCAACCCAAATGGTAGAAAAATGTTATTAAGGAGAAGAAAAAAGTGGAAAGCTTAGATTCCTGATTTTTGGTGCAGTTTGTGTTTTCCCTGGTGGAATTTGGGGGTAATTATCTGCCCTAACTTTAAAATTAAGAGAATTAGAGAAGCTACTCATAGCCTGCCTGGTCCCAGCAGAACCAAATGTTGCTCTAAAGCATTACAGAGCAAGATTTTCTGTGTGGAAGGATGTGGATATTTACAACACCTTCTGTAAGGTGTGGTGCTCTAAGTTTGGAGGCAATAAACCCTCAGCCAGAAAAGCTCTCCTAGAGGCAGTGCAGGGTAAGTTTCTGCTCCCTTTTCCTATTCTTGCTCTCCAAGCAAGCGAAGGACAAGCAGCTCCTAACATGGGCCAGTTCAGTCTTTACTGACAGAAAGGCAGTTTCTTGAGCTAATTACAGAGACATGACAGTATTCTGAAAGACCATCACATTTTCCTTACAGACCAGATCACTGTAATAACCCTGGGGAAAGCAATTTTAGTCTCTGAAACCACATCTGAACAGTTGCAGCTGTCTTCAGTAAGCTAAACAGCAATGGATAAACCCCTTAACTTTGTCACTTAACTGAGGACACAACCACAGGCAGAGCCTTGGCAGAAATGGAGGGAAAGCAAGTGCCTGGAGTGGAAGCGACTCAAACGCCTCCTGCTCTCCCTTGATTGCTGTCAATCCATCCACTACACTCAGTTCATCCCTCAGAACAAAGCCTGTCATTTCATCTCAGCAAAACTGAACCAACGGAGTTACATTAGGACAAAAAAACCCCTACATGCCACTTTAAGTAACCATAAAACGATGTTGCGATTTCATTGTGCAAAACTGAGCTATAGCAAGGCGAAGGAGGTGAATACTATTTCATATCATATCTTTTGAAAATAAACTGCAAAACACAGCAGAATCAGCTTCCACAGCAGGATAGCATTTTCACAATAATGTATATTATTACTTTATTCATTCAGCAGCCCTAAATCAAAGGAGGAAAGGTAAAAGAACAGCTTTTGTTCCTGGCTAGTGGAAACATCCATTTCTTTTACTAAGGCTCTCAATGTTTGTGAGTTGCAATGTAAACCTGAGGTTGCAAGACAAAACCACAAAAGTTTTATGAATATCTCTCCTCACTCAGTCAACTTTGTTGACAGTAGAGTCAGGTAGCTAACATCCCAAATTACAGATTTGCAAGTCATCAGATTTCCCTTGAGCAAACAACTTCAAAAAATCTGTCCTTCCAAACAAGAGTTAGTATCAGCAGTCTTAGAGTCTCAAATGCCGGAAGCTAAAGTGCAGAGTTTCAGTGTTAGTAATTAACCAGTCTGAAGGCAGCCACCCATCTATACAAACCATGCCCCAGCACAGGCTCTATTGCAAGGAAACAAAACCAGGTCAGTCAGACAAGCTATGCAACATTTCACCTGTACTAGCTTAGCACCTACTACTCTACAATACTTACATTTATTAACCTTCAACTTGCTTCCATCTACTGGAATTGGATCTATGTAATCCCAGTAATATTCATACGACCAAAAATACTCAGAGGAGTTTGTTCTGTTAGCCATGCCGGCAGTGCATTTTAAGCTAGCTCAGAGCTCCAGCCTAATACTCTTGCTTCATTGTACTTCAGTGCCCTCAGAAAGAGAATTGCATAACTGACGCCTGTGTCAATCACTCAGGGGTCCCACAGCTCAAGGACTGCTTTGGGACTGAAAACATCCAGTGGCAATGAGTATTAATGTCTGGCAGAGATGTAACAGCAGTCCTTAAAATGCAATCCTCTTTTCCTGACGGATAATTATGTTACTCCTCATCACAGTTAAACTGAGGTGGATGTCAAGTAACCCAAGAATGGCATGGATAAGTGCCAGTTAGGTCACAAACCCTTCCCTCTCAACCCCTCACAGCAGTGCACTGCTCCTAAGAGCTCATGAGCACAGCTGGGCTGAAAGACATTCCTGAATTTATCTGGAGGTAAAGAACTGGGGTCTCGAGGAGCGCTTGAGCACCTGAGGACACTTGGCTTGTTCATCTGGAGGAGACTGAGCTCATCGCAGTCTGCAGCTTCCTCCCGAGGGGCAGTGGAGGGGCAGCTCCGATCTCTATTTTCTGGGACCAGTGACAGGATCCGAGGGAATGGCTGGAGCTGTGTCGGGGAGGGTTAGTCTGGATATTAGAAAAAGGTTCCTCCCCCAGACGGTGGTCGGGCACTGGACCGTGGGTAGTGGTCCCCAGGCTCCCCAGGGCAGTGATCACGGCCCCAAGGCTGCCAGAGCTCAAGGAGCATTTGGACAACGCTCTCAGGCACATGGTGGGATTGTTGGGGTGTCCTGCGCAGGGCCGGGAGTTGGACTGGATGATCCTCGTGGGTCCCTTCCAACTCAGGATATTCCATGAACTAGGTGCGATTTGATAAAACGCTTCGTAAATAACGGATGTGTTGGAATAACCATACGTCTTGCTTGGACTCGGTGACCTTAAAACGCCCTCTCCTTCCCGGGCGGGACGCGAGGTGTCCGGGGGGCGGTGCGGGGGCGGTGCGGGGGCGGACCCGCCGCGGTCGGCCCGGGCTCCCCGCGCCGCGTCACTGCCGCTTCCTCGGCGGGCGATTTGAAGGCGATGAGGGGCGTCACTGCCGCTTCCTCCGCGCGGGGCGGTCCCAAGGCCATGGCGGGCGCCCTGTTCCCGCCGTCGGAGCTGGCGGCGGAGCTGGAGTGCTCCATGTCGCTGCTGGAGGTGGGCGCCGGGAGCGCGGAGCAGCAGCAGCAGCAGCCGCCGCAGCGGTGGGGGTCGGGCGCGGAGGGCTCGGACAGCGAGCTGCCCATGGTGTTCCTGTGCGCCGGCTGCAAGCGGCCGGTGGGCGACACGCTGAGCTGGGTGTCCAACGACGAGGAGGGCGGCTGCATCCTGCTGCGCAGTGAGTCCCGGCCCCGCCGCCCTGGCGTGTCCCCTCCCCGCGGGTCCCCTCCCCGCATCCCTCCCTTTCTCCCTTCCCCTGTGCAGGTGCGGCCGCCAGCGTCTCGGTGGACCACAAGCGGAAGCTCTCCAAGCTGCCCGACGAGTGCGGATGGTGAGACGGTGTGGGGGGGTCCCCGCCTGGGCGCTGCCCTCCCTGTCCTGGGGGAACCGGGAGGTCCCGGGGAAGGCGCTGAGGACAAGCCCGGTAAAACGGCCCGGCGGGCGGGAGTTCCCGTGTGTCCCCGGGGAGCCCCTGAAACATTTATTGCGGGTGGTCTGTGCGAGGTGCTCGTGGATTAGGTCTGTACAAGGTGCTTATGGACTAAGGGAGAGGGACTTCTCTCAGGGGCATGTAGTGATAGGACAAGGGAATGGCCTTAAACTGAAAGAAGGCAGATTTAGATTAGACATTAGTATTCAAAAAATCCAGGCATTTGGAAACACATAAATAACCAGGAGGCAGAGAAGCTAACTAAAAAAAGAAATCAACTTTTATTCGAATAAAAGGGAGAGTTCACTGAACAAACTTCAGTGAGGTCACTCAACTTGGTAGGGGACTCAGCCTCCCTTTTATCCTATCTCACCTGGAATGCAGATCCCTCCCTGTTTCTCCATTGGCTGAGATACTCCAGGGTTACAGGCTCCCCTCCCTTTTCGGCGTACATCGCATCAAACTATACCTTTCATATGGAGTTGTCACCTACTTCAGAGCTGGAGGAGGGTTACTTATTCCTTGCAGCTGATTGATTCTCTTGTTCCTAAGCAAACTACACAGATCAAAGGCTGCGTAATCAGTAACTTTCCACTCTCTTACTAAAACAATTATGACTATTACAAGTTTTGCAAGAACACTCTGTTTATTCCTCGTATTAGGAAGAAATTCTTCCCTGTGAGGTTGGTGAGGCCCTGGCACAGGTTGCCCAGAGAAGCTGTGGCTGCCCCATCCCTGGAAGTGTCCAAGGCCAGGCTGGAGAGGGTTTGTAGGAATCTGATCTAGTGGAAGGTGTCCCTGCTGTGGCAGGGGGTGGGAGTGGATGAACTTTAAGGTCCCTTCCATCCCAAACCCTTTTGCCATTCAGTGGTTCTGTTAGTCTTGCTGAGGTCAGCCAGCCTAAGGAGCCGCTGGGAATGCAGGCTGAAAGATGAGTGCCCATAATTACACTGTGTAAAGCTCTAAAAAATTGTAATGCATTAATTTTTTTAGAACAGGGATGGAGAAAGGTGCTTCCTTTTATTTTCTCCTGAATAAATGTTACATGTCTTACTTACAGCGTGGTAGAAACCTTGTTCTGCTCTGGCTGCTCGAGGACACTTGGACACATCTACAGGTGCACCCCAAAGCATCTCGACTACAAGAGGGGTTTGTTCTGTTTCAGCATTGATTCTATTGAAAGGTACATGCAGAATGTTTATGGGGAAGCCTGACAAATCCATTTCACTCACCCGGCATCTCACTGAGGGGTGCTGCTGTTGTGTCTGTGGCATATCCAGATACAGCTGTTTGTGCTGCTCTGCTCCAGAGTGATTTCCTGTATTACTGCTGTTGGCATCATAATGCTCAAGAATGAGAAACATCACCTGTGTAAGACAAATCCTAGAAAAAAATGCAATACCCGGGCTGCCTTTTGTGTAAGAAATTGCATACCAGCCAAGAAAATAACACTAGGTACACGGCACAAGAGGGTTCCTTCTCATTTAATCAGAAGACAGTTTGTAAAACAAGCCTGCAGTCATGGGTAGCACCAAAAAGACCTGCCTATTAGCTGTTAGAGGTTAGCATTGCCAGCGGGAAATGTGGGCAGAGGGCCTTAGGCACGACTTGGTGTGGGGTCTAACCTGTACTGGCCAAGTCTGCTCTGTCCTTGCTAAGGTGGGCAAAGTATGTGCTTGAGACTCTCACTTAGCCATCTTAAAAACTGTCCGGAAAATGAAGGTGTGCTTGGGTTTAATTGGTTTATAGCACTTTAAAGTGGTCTTAAAATGTTCTTCAATAACTATATCCTGAACTAAGGCTCCACACCAGAGTTCTTTTATGAATGCATATGCTCTAGTAAACAGTGATTTTTTTCTGTCTGGGCTAGCTTCAATGTTTCTGGTTTTTTGTTAGGTTCCCATTTATTGTGCTGTATCGATGTGGCTGTTCACCCTCTTACTCTGGACAGTTGTTTCAGGTTTTTTTTCTTCATTCCACAGCTCTGATACTTTATTTTTCCCGTGGCAGTAAAATTCTCTGAAGCACTAACCTGGCCACAAAACGGCACTTTCTTGGGCAATGATGGCTGTGGCTGCTTCTCCCAGCCAGCCCTGCTCCATTCTCCATGTCTGTGTAATTTTTTGCTGTATCTTGAAGCCCCAGAACCCATGGCTGTCTTTCGGGGTTCTGGAGCAGCACTGCCTTTGGCTTTTTGCCTTCAGAGTGAGAAGCTCATGATCTAAACTGTGGCATTTCAGCTATATTCTAGGATCCTCAGAAAAGCAAGCTCTTACTGATGAGGAGCCGCTGACTCTTGAAAGTCAAGCTGTCTTGCAAGAGGTGCTGGAAAGGGTAAGATTTAACCTTATATCATTCTTTGTTTAAATCACTTCTGTGAAATCTTAATATCCTTCAATAGCTTCTACAAAACAGCTTATTTCATCCAGAGCAATTCTGTGGGTTATAACGTCTGTTGTACTGCTCCATGCCATTAGGATCTTGTGTTATGCTAGATTTTCAGTAAGTCTTCCTTTAATTTTCACAGTAATTGGCATTTTCTGTTTATCATTCACAGCATTAGATTCCTATTTATATCTCAGTAATTTGATATTTCATTCCTAATTAGTTCTGATTCACTTCTCCAGATCTTCACTTAACTTATAGCCATGTCTCTTTTGCCTTTTGTGCAAATGCTTTTGCTGTAACTTTGTATTGAAATATTACATCATAAATCAAGTTGATGCTTTACTCTACTGAAAACTTGTGACTGCAGGTAGGGAAGGTTGGGAGCAAATAGCGTAAGGAAGTTGACTGTGGAAGGTGATGGTTGTCCAGTAAAAGGTGAGCCTGTGGCTCTGACGCCGAGGCTGGAAAAAGTTACGGAGCAAACGTTAGAGTCAAGTGAGCTTTCAAACTATGAAAGTAACCGAAATGAAATCAAATAGGATTGGTAATGTGAGATCAGATTTGAGCCCTGTCTGTCACCTACACTTGCTCTTAGTATTGTGAAATTCTGTTTGCAACCAAGTCCCTCTCCCTGGTTGTTTTGCAGGCACACACTATATTAAAAGCTCTGGAGACAAGACTGACAGCTATTGAGTCGTGTGTGGCTCCTCTGCCCAAGAAAGTCTGAAAGAAATTACATGTTTAACTGCTGAAGACTGGAGAAAGTGAAACTTGTCCTTGTAATCCTCTGGGATCAGTGGAAACATTGGAAAAGCTGTCAGAGAGCTGAAAGACATGAGTGGCTCATGCTGTAGTGGAACAGTGCTGAGTAAGCATCCTAGCCATCCTAGCCAACCTTTTCTTTCTCTTAAAAGGATACCCCAGATAGAAATATTTTTTTTTTCTTAAGCAAGACTTGTGATAAATCAATCTGTAGACTTCTGGTTTAATGTAAATATTTATTTAAATTTTTCTCTCTGAAAGCAAAGAATTTATCTCCTGACTTCCCTGATATTCAATATCTACTGAACTGGGTGTGCATTTTCCTAAACCAGTGCAAAACCTCCCTGTGATGCTGTGATGTCTGAAGGAACAACACTAAGTCACTTTTCCCTGTCTTGTCTCCACAGCCTTTGCTCAACTCATGCTCAGAGACAGGAATGGGCCAAAAACTATGGTTTTGTGGTTTGTTAGTTTTGTGAGGTTTTTTTACAAGTTCAGAGCTAAAATGTGACATCAATAAAGGCTTTAACAGCATTAGATAAAAGGGCTTTTCCATGCTATAATGCTCCAGTTTTGAAGCTTTATGCTTAACTGGAAATATTACTTATATTTAGGAATTTTATGTTAGTTTACTAAACTTTTGAAAAGCTTTTAGTTCGTTCTTACTTTGAATTCACATATGGAGAAAACACTGCTACACTTTCTCTGAGAGAATTTCTTTTAATTTAGTGAGAAAATAAGACATTTTGGCAAAAGGTTTTACAGGGGTGGCATAACCTAGGCATAAGTATTTCACCAAAACACCCAGCACAAAGGCCCAGTTCACAAAAGCATCCACTACAAAACAATCAGTACACCATCTTAGTAAAACACAACTCATTAGTTTTAAGTTACCCACAAGAGAAAGAAAAGACTAAAGGAAGAAAACAAAGAAGTAAAGAAATAGAGAGGAGAGAGGAAGGAGAGAAAAATAGTTACCCCCATGATCTGATGGTGGCAGCCAGAAGAGAAAAGCTCTCCTAGGGTCTCGTGCTCCCACATTTATATAGTTTGGTCCTGCCTCCCAGGCAGGATATCCAGTCATTGACCACTCAGTGCCTTCCAGGCCAGAGTGAGGTGTGTGTAGGCAGTCACAGGCTCCAGGGGTGTGGTGTGGGTGGGCTACCAGGCAGGTCTGCCTTGGCTGACAGCCCGGCCACATGGCTCTTGGAGCTGCCCCGTGTGCTGCGTGGGCTCAGCCGTCCGTGTTGGCTGCAGGCCTTACCATGTGCCTTGTGGCTCTGCCATGTGCTCTCTGTGGGCAGGCCTTGCCAGGTACCTGCAGGCCCAACCACACACTTACGGCTGGTTGACTCTCACCCACATGAACATATAATTCAGTGAGATTCAAACTCAGTATCTCACAACTGCAGTATTGAAAGTCAGATGTTTTACAGCTTCAAGGGGAGGAAACCAAACCAGGCTGGTGGCAGCACTCCTTTAAGCAAAACTTGGTGTATATTTGAGCCATTAATTCAAAATGCTAACTAGGAACACTTGCCAGCAATTTTTTTTTGTTTTAATGCAGATATTTCAGTTATTTTTCTTTGGTCTTCTGTGCATTTGACTAATTGTCAGCGTTTCTTGTACAGTATGAGTGTTCCACCTAATGTTTTTCAATAAAAGCAAGCAGCTGTAGTCTAAAGCAAGAATAATTTCAAAAAGTGGGGGCGTTTTTATTATCCACACTGCTTAATTTTACTGTTGTGAGGTTTTACGTTTTCTTCAAAAACTCTGAATTCATTTCCCCATTCTGCCCCACTGGCAGGCACTGTTTCTCTTAAAAAAGCTTCTGCCCTCCACCTTCACTGGTATATTTTGAAGTGGTGCTCAAGTTTAGCCTGTAGTGATAAGTCTCATATTCTTTTATGCTTAGGTAACTAAAAGATTTTGTTACTGACATACCTGCTAGAGGAGCTTGTGTTACTCCAGTGTAATTTTTGAGGCAATTTCTGCTCTTACAAGTTTTTAAATGCTGGTCAACAGCAACATTCCTTATCCTGGATGCCTGAAGAGAGCCATGGACTGCCCTTTAACTGAAGGTTGGTTGGTGTTAGAGGTGAGAGGTTGAATAACCCAACGTTTATCAAGCTGGAGGTGGTGTCTAAGTGGGTTCTTGTCTTTGTTCAATTGTGAGGTACGTGGCAACCTCCACTGGTTGTTCTTTTGGTTTGGCCATATCCTGGGTCACCATGGTATCAGGTGTTTTACTCTCATCTTTCCCTTTTCCCTGGAAGTGCTGCACCATGCCGAGCAGCTTCCGGTAGGCAGTAACAAAGCTCCACGTGCAACTATGAGCTGCCCCTCCATGGGTCTACCACGACCTTTCTCCTTTACAGATTTCATTATTTTCATGGGGTTTAGGAGTTGTTCAAGGGTGAAATTCCATGTTGTTGGAGCAATTTTCCAAGAATTTACCCATATCCTCCCACAGCCCATGCCAGTCGAGGTTTCTGACCCCTGGGGTGGGCTTCTGGATGCATCCTTGACAATTCCTGGCCCTATCTTCATATATTAGTAGGCCATAATGGCACAAACTTGCACACAAAGCCCAAAGAGCAAGACATCTCTGGCATCTAAAGAGGATTTAAACTTTCCAGAAGCAATTGTAGTGGACCAAAAGGGGAAATGGATTACGGGTTGGGAAAACATTCCCCCCTGTGTTTCTCAACAAGGATTGGTGCCATTAATCCTTAAATCCCCAGAGGAAACACCTTAGGCTAGAGCCTTGAGGACATACTCCAGCTGAGACTCATAGGTGGTGAATTTGCAGCATCATAAACCCAACATATGAACTCAAAAGCAGTTATCACCACTTGGGTCTTATTTGAGCTGAAGAAAACAGCCAAGCTGGACAGGCCTCTGGGCATGGTTATGTGCCAAAGAAAAGCTGCTAACTCAGGCAGCATGGGGCCTCTTGGCTCCGAAATCGATACACAGATGGATTACACAAGAGCTGTTTTCCCTTTTTCACCTTTCCTGTCGTCGAGGCCACGTTGGGCCCCAATAAATGTCTCAGTTTAACAAGACAGAAATGTTTGCTAAGGAGGGCAAGAGAAAAACCAAGCTCCTCCCTCTGAGTAACTATGACTTCGAAATTAAGACTTCTCCAGTCGAGAAGGTGCGTAAAAGAAAACAACAGCTCTTTAGTAAAGAATAGGCATATATATATAGGTAACACCACAAAACAAGCCGCAGCCCCGTAACCAAACTCCCACCGAAAACAAGGAGCCGCTTTTCGCCCCTCGGCGCAGTTACAGCCACGCCCAGCAGGGGGCGCTGCCGGCCCCCGGGAGGTGCCGGTTTTTGGGGAACGAGGGAGCGGTTCCCACTTCCAGCCGAGCCCACGCGGCAAAGGGCGGGTCTCAGCCGCGGAGCTGGGCCGAGACCCCAGGGCGAGCCCCCCACAGGGACTATGTGGCTGTATCGCCGCGCCCGGGGCTCTGGAGGCGGCAGCCGGCAAGGGACGGAGGTGCCGGTCCGTCCAGCGAAAAGCAGGGAGAGCGGGGGACGAATGGGAGCTCCTTTGGTCCTCAGCAGCTCCCAGGAGGCGTCCAGGCAGTGGGCAGAGGCGAAACCGGGACCTCCCTCGGGGTTTGAAGTAGTCAAAAATGACCCAGCCAAAAAGATGAACCCCCAAACCAAGCACCTCCCAGCCAAAAACTGCCAGCCTCTGTTTCCCTTCTGGCTGCTGCTGCTTCAGCTAAAGTTACACAGTAAAAATCTACCTTCCTCCTCTGCCTCGGGTAGAGGAAAGCAAGAATCCTGCTTCTTGCAGAGAAAAGTCATCAGTGTTTCAATGGGATGATCCAAGCCAGGTGAACAATGAAGCCTGAACTTACCCCACCCCAGACAGGCTGCTGGTGTGGAACATTCACCAGGAGCTAAAAAAACCCCAAACCAAACCAACAAACCAAACAAACAAAAAAAAAAACCACCCAAAAACCCTATGACAGAGTACCTAGAATTTCGCAATTAGAAGGGGTAGGTCACGGAAAGCTTTCTATCTTGGCACGCTTCTCTTTTTTGGGCTGTAGCTGGAAACTGCTCAGTTTTGATCTAGGCTGTGAGACTGAGAGTTTGGAATAGGTGAGAAGTGCAGTGCAGCCACGAGTTTGGTATAGTTCTCTGGTTTCTGGGAAAGAGTAAAATCAGCTGTGAGTTTTCCTTCTTGGACATTTGGCATGGGCTCAGCTGCTGGACTCTTTATGGTTAGCAGGTGAGATCTGTGAGAGTGAAGAGAAGGTGACAGTCCATCTGTGGGAGAAGGAAAGAACTGTCATTTTCTACCAGGAGACCACCAATGCAATGTGGTTCCACCTCCAAAAATGATTATTTCTAGGGATTTCTCCCAGAAAAAACGTGCCAGGACAGTATGGTTAATACCTGCCATGCACAGCCTATTATCTGCCCCTGCAACACTGGCCCTACGCACTTTACTTCCTATGGGAAAGAACTGTTATTTCTTTTCAGGAGACCACCACCGAAATTTTGAGTCCACCTCCAAAACTGAATACATCCAAGGATTGCTTCCAGACAAAAGGAAAGACACTTCTCCAACAGCAGCCAGAACCTGGGAAGGGCTCTACCTAACCACGGGAGACACCATACCTTAGACAAACCATAATGATGAATTCTAGAAATAAAAGCATATGGCTTCCAACCTATCTCATTTGAGGTGCAACCCATCTCAGCTTCTGATTATTGAGTACCAAGAATGCCTGACAGGAGAGCAATTCCTGAGCAAGGAACAAAACATAAATGTTTTTGTTAGGTGAGGCTTTCATCATCCCCTCACCCTGTGTGCCTTCTCTGCTGTCTACTAAAAAGCATGGGCCACTCTCTTGTTCAGTAGAGGTAATAAGGTCCTTTTTATTATTCCTGTTATTGGTTTTGGTTAAAAAAAAACCCCAAACCCAAAGGTGGCTGGGTTAAGCCGTTGAGACATTCACCTTCCCCATCAATTGAGTTTGGACTTACAGGTTCATCAGCTTCTTGGGATGACACCTGGACATACACAAGTTAGTTTTCTGGTTTTATGGGTGAGCAGGACTGATTTATTTCAGAGACCAGAGGAGTCTGAAAATTTTATGTAACTCTTAGCACTCCTAGATTCACACACCATCTGTGTGAAAAATGGACCATCACAGTGTACAAGTGTCAGTGATATTCCCCAAACTTCCATGATCCACTGTTAACCCAGATCTGGGGAGTCTGTGATTTCTGCTGCCTTTTATCCCTGTACCTGTCCCCTGCTTTTTACCTACTACTTTGTTATGAATGCCTTTTTTTATGAAAAAGCCTTTATTATTTTCACATAGTTTCTAGTTGGTTATCCTGTATTCAAGTGAATGTAATAAATATATGTAAGGTAAGGTAAATATGAGTAGTTAAAATTACAATGAGCAATTATGTAATTATACCAATAGTATTGTAACATTTGCATTTAAACAGATGCCTCACATGCTGATTCAATACACCATTTATCACTGCTACCTAAAAGTATCTAGTATGCCTGTATGACTTTAATGGATCCTTTATAAAAGCAAATCAAGTGCACCTTTAACAAGAGTTAGAGTGACAGGAATGAAAAGTCAGAGAATCAGTAAGGGCTGCTCACTGAAAATCTTTCTTATTTCCTAGATCATTACCTGAAAAAGTCCCAAATGCTGACAGGCTTACATGACATGGATCTTCTGATTTATTACCATTGGGCTGAGAAAAAAAATTGCAATATGATTGAGAACTTTATCATCACCAAATGCATTTAAACAAAATCATGCCAGTTCACCCAAGAGCTTGAGACTTATGGCCTTCAACAAGTTAATAAAGTCGAATATATATTTTGATTAGTAAGCGTTTTGTTTCTTCCCATGTCTCTCCCATCCATCTCCTCCTCTTTCACAGTAAATATGAAATAGTAGATTGTAAAAACTATGTGACCTTGTTAAAGTGTCATACCAAATTCTTACTAGACTATTATCATATATCAAGAAAGCCTTAAATGTTATTTCTGAAGTTAACAAAATAATACTGACTTACTTGTATTGTAATATTATTCTCATTCATTACTTATTTGATAATTTTTACTTTTTTTGTTATTTTAGATTCTGACTTGACTTTGCTATTCATATGAAACAGTAGGTTTTCCACATGACAAATTTGATCATCAGTAGGATGGGAAGAATATTCATGCATTTGGGAATATTGAAATTAAAAAAAAAAATCAATAGAGTGAAATATGTATTACTGAGGAAACATCCTCAATAGTTTAGAAAATACCAAACTTTGATACACTTACCTTTCTGGATTATTAAGAAATGTCAACTTCATCTGAAAAATCCTGAGCTAGTATTTTGGGCCTATAAAACTTTGAACTATACAGAGATTACTTTGCTACCATTTGCAGAAATGTTTATGAATAATGAATGCACCAGCAGAGATTTTTCACAGCAGAAGATGTGTACAAAATAGAAAAGCCTTTGTAGAAAGGATAGTGGTTTTTATTGTAGTCTTAGAAAATACTGAATTATGAAAGATACAAAATCAACTGTTGTAATTATCTGTTTATTTTACAATCTGTATGCCATCATACCTTTATGGTTTCAAGATAGTCTGTTCAAAGTATTTTAAAACATGCTTTAGCAAAGTATTTTACAATTTCAAAATCAAATATTTCTTTACTGGAAGAAAAAAATAAAACCAAACTCCAAAAACATTTTCCTGAGAATTCTGTATCATAAAATTGTCATTCATTCTTAACTTTTGCAAGTTGATGACATAGGCTATAGAAGTCAACATGCAACTTGTAGGTCTACAGTATTAAATAAATATTTTAAAAATTATTTAGATGCAGCTGGTCAGGCAAAACCCTACCCTCACAATCAAGTTCATTACAGGTTTAAAAACATGACGTTAATTTTATCACAGGTCAACGACAGTCATGATTTCTGCACTGGAATCCCTCCACCATCAGCTATGTGGAATTCAGACTGTGGCTGATCACCAGAGCGCAGCAGTGGAGCACAAGCCTCTAGTGGATATTCCAGCCTTTAACTTGGTAATCGCTGACCTGGTTTTCCAGCATCTACAGCCAAGTGTGTCAGGGGTTTGGGCCACTGGATAAGCTGCCAGCCAGCCACTGCCTACATATACGCTCCACCCGTTTAGAACAAGCGTTTAGCCCACGGAGTTCCATTTTGAAGTATGTGTACTATGAGGACAGTGCCATTGTCCATGTCATTTCAGAGTATCACCAGCTTTAACAGTGACAGTAGTTATGAACAGTAGAGGGGTTTGGGGCTTTCCATTTTGTTTTTTATTGTTTCTTTTTGGTTTGCTTTTTAAATAAAATGGAGACTTCAGAGCAAAACGCTACCCAGGATGGCAGCATGCAAGGGAGGCAAGATTAAATTAACCAGGAATCTACAGACACCGGAAAAAAAGCCCACAGAGCTTTGTAAGTAATACATATACATGATCAACATATAATCAATGATAGTAATTTAAGAGAATTTCAATTCAATTATCGAAAAGCATATCAGTAGAACTCTCATGACGTCTCCCATATAGTACTTATTTCTGAATTTCAATTACTGCAAGCACTGTGTTTTATACAAGCTATGCTCCATTAACATAATTTTTCCCTTAAAAGTAATGATATATGATGAAAATCCAAGGATATCACTAGAGATTTCGAATCAACTTTCAATCCCATAGGTGAGGTAGTGTAGTCATTTGCATTTTGTGCTGGTTATGAGAAGTCCTGTTTAAATCTGTCAAATTTTAAATTTTTGTTTTAAATAAGCGGCTTAATGTATTTATTAATGCTATGTTACCTATGGGGAGAGAGGGGGAAAAAAAAAAAAGTCTTGTCAAGAACAAGTTTTGTCTCACTGCAAGATAAAACTGAAAAGCGGTATTTACAGGGTCCTTTGCTGCCTACTGTACATGCACACAAAGACACAAAGAGCTAATATACATACTGAGGTAGGAAATGAAGAATTCTACTGGCTTGTTCAAGATTCTTCATGTTTTGTAAACCAGCAAAACCAAAGTTTTCTGTGGTGAGGTTCAATACTTAGTTCTGTTGTTAGAATAACATCTAAATAACAAAGCGTCATTGGTATACAATATGCATCCACTGCTATGTAAAAATCTAAAAAACGGGGATTGCTTTCAGTAGCTAAATTTCGCCTTCACAAAGTAAATAAAGGAAATATCTCCAGCTCATTTCCTTAATAAACTTTTTATATATCTACACTAATAGCACAAGCCATTGAAAACGTACTACAGGTTCAGCCATAAAGTACGCCAAAGACTAAGATTCTGAAATAGAAATTTACTGGTCCCAGTGATCAGAGAACAAATATATTTGTAACTTTATGCAGTTAGGCACTTAAGTAAAAAAATTGTAGTGCCTGAATACCTTAAAAAAAATAAAAATCTGTCCTTAGACTTCCATAATACTTTGATTCCAAATTACCACAAACAAGCAGAAAGCTTGAAGGTGCTAGGACAGTAAGTCACAATACAGCAGTGAATTTTAACAAGCCTATGGGATTCAGATGCCAGAGGATCCAATGCACACTCATCCAAGAACTGCATCAGTTTCAAACATCTGCCTTTCACAGTATGTTGTTATTCCTCCCACTAAATTTAGAGAAGAGAGCAGTATGCGGCAGCACCTCTGCCGTTCCAGTTCTCTTAACTCTACACTGGAGAGCTAAGACAAAGGCATATATTCAATAAAAGCCTACTACTATTCAAATTTACTACTACTACTAGCCTACTAATTTTATTCAGTAAAAGTCTACTCTGGGACAGGGATGGGAACAGCAAGAAGCAATGAGCTGTTCCAGAGCGCACTTGCCAGAATCTCCTCATACTGTCATGTTATCCTAACTCATCTACAAAATAAGCATTTACAAGCTGCATGTGCTTCTTAAGGTTTGTCTACCAGGCAAAAAGAAATCTTAGAAGAATTCTAGGTATAGAAGTCATTGTGCATAAACACCTGTTAGGAGGCTTTCACTGAGATGTGGAGTGGCATTAGTTACTGTGGCATAAGTCAGAGCAAAGGCTGTCCTATATGTGAATGAAAGCTTTCTCAAAAATAAACACCTGCACATGGAGTTTATACATTCCAACAACTTTCCTGAACCTTCCTTGGCATCACCACACAAAAAAAAAGCTTCAAGGTTGACACATAGAAATTATGCTCTAGAATTACACAGAGCAAACCAAAAGCTTGCCAAGTAATATAGTGACCACTTATCTGTCAATGTAGTTTCAGAAGATAAAGTTTCATCTTTTTATCACTTAGTAAGCTACTTTCCAATAATGCTCAATCTCACTTTTAGTTGCAATGTTGAGAGGCTGGCAATAGGAACAAGAGATTCACTCATCTGTAGTGCATTTGTCTGTCATCTGCTGACAGAAGTCTGTGATACCACTGCTGTGTCCACACTGTTCCACAAGTAACGTTTCCTCCAATGTTCTTACAGAAACTGGATGCAGTTCTTGTACTTGATCATATGTTGCATCACTTTTGACACACTGATAACAAGAACTCTGCTCATTTGTAGATGTAACACCTGAAAGACCATCTGCTGATTCTACAGACGCTGGTACTGCAGGTTCACTATCAGACGGAGCTGTTTGTTCTCTCTTCGGGAACAAAAGTAAGAGTGGACAATCTGAGGAAGAATATTTTGCAAGTATTTGTATTTGCTCGTGACTCAAGGCTGCTTCCTTACACACCTGCTGGCAAAGTCCAGTCAGATTCTGCTTTGTCTCACCCAGAGTTGACAAAATGTGGTTTCTTTCCTTCAGCAAGTTCTCCTTCTCATTTTGCTGCAAAAAGAAAAACAGCCCTTTAGTCTACATTTTAACACAAAAACTATGGTTTATGTTCCTACCAAAGCTAAAGCAAGAATGTAAATAATCTGGTCTGCCGAAACAGAAGTAATTTGGCATTAAGGTAAACAGCAATACAATCAAATGTGTGTCAAAAGGTCAATCCTAACCTCTATGAGGAAATGGCAAAGGACAGGAAACAAGCAAGGCCATAATGAAGCAGTTGAAAGAAGAGGACAAAGAACCCAAAACCAAACATGTCACAACACATTAATTTTAAATTCTCTATTTAATTAAGAGACAGTTTTGAAGATATACAAAGCTTTAAATAGTTTTTATGTAGTAAATGTTAATCATAGGGACTGTGTGTTACAGCTATTGCTATGTCAATGCACTCCTGGAAAGTTTAATTATTTTCACTCCTTCTATCATCCCCTTTTGCAGGAGAAACTCATACTGCAACCTCTACCATTTTTTTTTTTTTAAGAACTGGTTAACTTTCGGGAGCATTTGGCAAGAGGAGCAGTTGTTACCAGTCCTTTTTGCCTAAAATTATTCAAGAGAGCTTTTCTAATAAATTTCTACTTGTCAGCATACTGGGAGCAGCTGTTAATCATAGAATATGCTGAGTTGGAAGGGACCCATCGGGATCATTGAGTCCACCTCCTGGACCTACGCAGGACACCCCAAGCAAGAATCACACCACGTGCACGAGAGTGCTGGCCAAACGCTCCTTGAGCTCTGTCAGGCTTGGTGCTGTGACCACTTCCCTGAGGAGCCTGTTCCAGTGCCCAACCACCCTCAGGGTGAAAAACCTTTTCCTAATATCCAACCTAAACCTCCCCTGACTCAGCTTCATGCTGTTTTCTTGAGTCCTGTCACTGGTCACAGGAGTGAAGAGATTGATACTTGCCCCACTGCTTCCACTTGTAAGAATTCTGAAGACCACAGTGAGGTCTCCCCTCAGCCTCCTCCAGGCTGAACAAGCCAAGTGACCTCAGCTGCTCCTCATAAGGCCTCCCCTCCAGACCCTTCACCATTCTCAGTCTCTCATTCCCCAGTCTATACATGCAACCAGGATTGCTCCATCACAGGTGCAGAATCCAGCACTTGCCCTTGTTAAACTTCATACAGTTGGTGACTGTCCATCTCTCCATTTTTTGAGGCCTCTCTGCAGGGCCTCTGTGCCCTCAAGGGAGTCAACAGCTCCTCCTGATTTAGTTTCATTGCCTAACTTAGTATTCCTTTGAGTCCAGTGTCCAAGTTGTTGATGAAGATGTTAAAGAGAACTGGGCCAAGGATGGAGCCCTGTGGAACCTCACTAAGTGACCAGACACCAGTCTGATGTTACCCCATTCACTAGAACTCTTTGTGCCCAACCTGTGAGTCAGCTGCTCACCCGTCACGTAACACGGTTATTCAGATGTATGCTGGGCACTTTGTCCAAAAGGACACTGAGAGACAGCATCAAAAGCTTTGCTGAAATCCAAAAACATTATGTCTACCGGCTTACCTAGATCAACTAGGTGGGTTACCCTGTTGTAGAAGGAAATCAGGTTCAACAAGCAGGACTTTCCCCTCCTGAAGTGTGTGCTGGCTGTGACTGACGACTGCACTGCCCTCCAGCTGTTTTTCAATACTTTTGAGAATAATCTCTTCCATTCTGTTGCCAAATCTCCTATCTAAAAATCACTTTATGTACCTTTTGGGTATGTAGAGGCACTCAGCTGTGTATTATGGACTGATGAAATTATCTGGACTGCTGTTTAAAACAAACATCAACATTCAGAAATAGTTATTCCAGTGTAGGTTCCCCACCCTTATGTGAAGTTGTTCACAGATCAATAAATTTAATTATTGTTTTATTTTAGCAGCATTATACTAATACTGCAAAGTAATGTCAGTTAGTTTTGACGTCATAGTAAACTGAGAGCTCTTTTAATTCTTCTGGTGAAGAACACTTTTAATTCACACACTTCACCCTGTTCTAATACAAATAATAAGATCTCAATTACATTCTGGGATCACTAACTGACATGTCCTTCTCATCTACAGAATCTTCATCCAAGTAGTGCTTCTTGAGCCCAGTTATCCTCTACTCTGTTACTCCTCACAGGTATCCTAATTTTAAAGTTTTGAAGTGAGAATTGCAGAGTGGGTAACATTGGAAGGGACCACGGTGGGTCATCTGGTCCAACCTCCCTCCTCAAGCAGGGTCATCCTAGAGCCCATTGCACAGGGTAAAGTACAAGGAATCTGAATGTACACAGGTGCTCTGAAAGAGTTGCTTCTAACAAGCCAACATCTTAAGTGGCCCATGTGTGTTCTCAAATACAGAACACTAGTGAACAACAAACACACAGGGATTCATTCACCTGAAAGGTCAATAAGCAAAGACTATATGGGGGGGTCAAAAATTACACTGTCAGTACAGAAGATCAAGATAAATGATAAAAGATAATTCTCCCAGATAACAGATTCAGTACTGGACAGTATTTTTCTCCAATATAAGTAGAGCTTAATGTAAGACTTCCAATTTTACAGAATCACTCAGGTGGGAGGTACCTCAGCAGGTCTGTAGTCTCACCTCCTGCTCCAAACAGTCAGCTCTGGTTAAGATCAGGCTGCTCAGGGCTTTGCTTAGTCATGTCACAAAAACCTTGAGGACTGGGCATGCATAACATCTCTGTGTAAACTGCTCCACTGCCTGCCTCTCCCCAGTGGAAGTGTTTCCTTATATCCAGTTGAAATCCCCCCCTTGTTCTCTTGCTGTCGAGTACTACCCCCTGAAAGCTGACGGTCTTTCATTCGTGATAGCTACAATAACCTCAAGAACTTCCCCATAGATATGGGCAGCTGGGTATTAGGCCCCCCACACCCACCTCTTCTCCATCTCAGTGGCCTTGCTCCTGTTTTTCAATGCACTCCTGGCACTGGGCAAGTTCAAAACTCAGCAAAAGACTCAGTCTTACCCATGCTAAGTATAGGAAAACAATAACTGCCCTCAAACAACTCACTGTGCTCCTGTTAACACATCCCAGAACACTGATGGTCTTTTTGACAGCCTGGACATGTTTGCCAATCCATGCTCAGCCTGCTCTCTGCTCAGATCCCAAGGTCCTTTTCAGCAAGGCTACTCCCCAACTGTCAGTCTCCAGATTCTACTCACTCGGGGAGTTATTCTGTTCCAGATATAGGACTTTCCCAACAAACATACCACAAATACTATCTCCTAATCTGAGAGAAAAAAAACCTATAAGCAACACCAAATAGAAATTATTATAAGACAACATTCTGTACATACTAGAAGCCAGGATGAGGAATTTCACCAAATAGTATTTCTTAACAAGCTATAGGACAGAGTATTATCTACTTGTCAAAAGTTTTCAAACTGTAACGCTATCAACTATATATCAACTGTACTACTATATATACACTCTATAAAACTATATATATAAAACTATATATAAACTATAATAATACACCATACTATCCCCTCTCAAAGCCACATTACAGAAGATACCATGAGATTAAAGACTAAAAAGTCTGAGAGATTTGACTGAGAAACAGGAACAAAGCAGGAGCCATCAAGCATGAAGCAACCTGTATGTACCACACATTGCTCTTCACAGATGTCTCTCTACTTCCCTCCACCTGGAAATTATGCCTAGACAGACCTTAATGTTTCTGTATTCGTGTAAACCTTACATAAGTTTGATGGTGCAACACCTGTTGCCATCAGACATGCTCAACAGCTCCAAAAAAGATCTTCTCAGGAATTTCTGAAGAAACTTATCTGCACAGTTGGAAAAAAATATGCAACTGGAACACATTTGTGCTTAGCACGTGATTCCTCTGACTCAGACCTCACCTCACAATTCTCAGGACTCAACACTCATTATCTAGACCTTGCACAGTGTTATCCATCAAACAGCTGACATTCAGTCTGTTCCAGTCCAGATCCAGAACAAAGAATATTACCTATAATTATTAGCCACTTAAACAACTATATGTCTAATCTTGCAGATCAACCTTTAATGCCCTGCTCAAGTGTTACAAAATATTAACAGAGTTACATAACAGAAATAACAATATGATGACAAAGCCAGGCAGAAAGTTTTGAAATGTCAGAAATGCAACTTCTCTCTTCAGTCAGACAAATGTTATTAACACAATCACCTGATTTCCTTCCCTCTCTCAGAGCATCATCTCCATTCAGCACAACAAATGACCTGCTCTGTCAACTCATCAGGGCTAAATTTGAGGCACTGCAGGCCTTCCTTCAAAAATCTATCTCCTTCACTGCAGAAATAGCAATATATGTAGTGAAAGATGATGGATCACATCAGGAAAATACTTTCCATCCCATGGCACTTGGCTCTAATTTGATTTTCCTTTTCACTCTGAAGTCAAGAAAGGTGCAACATGACTGTGTCTTAGCTGATGCAAATATCAAATTCACATACACTAAGTCTCAAATGCTCCAAGGACAAGAATTAAGAATACAGTAATCCTAAAGAACTGAACTGTTTAGTGCACATGGTATGATCAACCATGAAACTGAAATGAGAGGGTCAGAAACAAAGACTTTTTTCTGAAAAGCCACTCTATTTTCTTGCCATTGCTATTTTGTGGATAATCCTAACCTCAGATTATCTATATTTCTCTTAAATGATGTATGTATCTTTTTATTGCCTTCTTAAGAAGGAGAAATTGTATTAACAGATGGTGGCAGAGAAATCTGGACACATTAATTGCTCAGCTACAATTTTGATGCAACTGCTAAAAAGGCAAGCAACTTCCCAAGTTCTTTTGTATCTTCCGCCTTTCTGCAAGCGCCTCATTTTTAAGATTCAAGGCTCAGGAAACAGTTCACCAGCCCATGTTAATATGTTCCAAGAACTGTACTTACACAACTAACAATTGCGTAACTAAACTTGATCATGAGCAACACCATGGGCTGAAGAACAAAAATTGCAAAGCAAGAAAGGGGAGGAGGCAGAAAACAGTCTGGGATAATGGTTTGGGAATCATTCTGTACAATTAAACTCAATGGCTTTGGAAACATCATTCACCAAATATTATGCTGTGATGCGCTTTTATCTGAATGGAAACAAGTCCAGAGAAGGAAAGGCGTGTGTCCTTCAGAGGAAAGCACAGAAAAATAATGAACTGCTATTAAGAAGTTATCTGAGACTGATAAAGTTTTCTAAGCTTGAGTGGAAAAAGTAATAAGCCACCTCACTCTCCAACTACTGCCAGATACCCAGTCAAGATGTTTTGAGAAAGACTCACGACAAAAGCAATGAATATTTGTACATACCAGTTTTTCAATTTCAGATTCAAGATTTTGTATGCAGTCAAGTTTTCTCTTGCGACATCGCTGGGCTGCAATTCTATTTTTACTTCGTCTTCGGATATCATGAATACAGTCCAATTGTTCAGGAGTTAATTTATGCATTTTCAGAAATGACTGGAAGTCATTTCTGGAAAGTGAGATAATCCTTTGTGCATTAAATGGAAGTTTTACCTAGAATGTAAGATAGAGTTGTAAATCAAAAGGTGAAACCGATATACACAAACACCAACAAACCAAGTCAAGTTTTCATTTTAAGCATTCTTCACCACAAAACTCAACTTTCTTCCTACACCTCAGAGACAAGAGCAAACAGATGTAGCCATTGGATGATGCAGATAAATCCCAGGGGTTTCAACTACATGAGTTCAAGTGCAGCTGAAATAGAGCACTTTGCACATTTACACCAGACCCTCAAAAGCATGTTTAGAGCAAGAGGAAATGTATTCCTCTGTGCAGCAAATAACTGGGTGATACACTCTAAGAAGAGAAGTTCCAGTTAAGTCAAGCATAAAACAGGTGTCAAGACTCACTGATATAGTCTAAAGTTTCCCCAAAGCTGCTACTAAGACTGCATCCTGCATACATTTTTATACCTACACTTTTTTTTTTTTCCTGCAGGAAAAGTTTATCTGAAACAGGCATTTCCTTAAAATACAGAAGTCACAATATCTGTCTTGTAATTCTTAATGCTAGAGAAGAGAGAGAACCAGGCTCTTGCTACTGTTGTATACTGCTGTATACAAAAGCATTTGAGATCAGAAAGTGTTGATTAATACTGAAAAACATTTTCCTTTACAAAATAATCATCATGTTTTATGAGCATCCAACTAAAGACATTTATTTTAATCCTTACAATTTTGAGTATAGTAAGTAGCAGAATGTGTCACCTTGCTGTGGTCAAAGATTTGAATTTAGTTTAAAAAGCAGAGAACTGTTTGGCTACCACTGGTGACAAACCACCAAAAAAAGAAAAAAGAAGAAAAAAGAGAAAAAGAAAAAAAAGAAAAAAGAAAAAAAAAGAAAAAAGAGTACTGTCTTCAGGAATGATGCCATCTCCTTCTCTGTCACATAAAGATGAGAAATGTATTTAATCAATTCTGGCCTTTTGTTTGGCAGGCCAGCTTTTTATATTGATGGCAGCTTCCACTTACAGTCAGTCTCAGTAAGGCCCTCCATCTCGAAAAGAAAAACAACTGGTGCTTTAAGAACAACTCAATTTTCATATCATTAAATGATCCGCCGTACACAGAGTTACACTGCAATTCTACAGTTCTGAGAACTGAGACAGAAATTGTTCTAGGTATATCACAAAATCTTTTGGGATTAGACTACTTATATGGCATCTGCTGAAACCACTAACAAAGCAACAACAAAGAAAGGAAGAGCCAAATAATTACTGCAGTTGGAGAAACAACTACAACCTTAGTTTCAGAGAGGATGATATTAAACAATCTTAAACATACAGCTATTGAAGCCAGCTTGAAAACTTAATTTTCATTTCATAGTAAATCTGAAGTATCACTTCTCTCCTACCTTCTCCCTACAACTCAAAATACAACCAAGAAAACTGTTAAGTTTCTATAAAACAAAGGTTCCAAGAAGTTTAGTTTTCTTAAGCTAACTGCAGCAGATAAATCAAGGCACAGAGGTTCTTTTTTAGTTTTTTTTTCTTCTAAGATTCACAACCTTTTATGATACAGCTGTTTGAGAAAAGCATCTTAAAAGATCTAATACATAAGCATCTAACACTTCAATATCCTACCAAAAATACTTGGTAAGTCTCCCTGAATTAGCAGTGACCTTTCATATAAACCCTTGAAGGTTAAAGTTTTAACTCCCAGACTTTTAAAACAAGCAGCCACAGGAAAAAAAAACAAACCAACAAAACCCACAAAAGACTCAAAATATTTTTGAACAGGGGGACTTAAAAGACAGGTAAGCAAAGGACACACCAGGATGTTCTTACCTCACATTCTTGTTCTCTTGCTGAACAGGATTCACTGTCTCCCTCGGTATCAGTCTCTGAATCCTCTCCCAAACTTATCACATAATTATAGGGACACTGTTCTTGTTGTTGTCCCTGAACATAATCTCCACTGCTTATTTCAGAGCTATTGGAACATCCTTCAGTGCTAAGGTTGCTTATAAAGGGGCAGTTGACAGAATTCAGTGTTGTAAAAGTTCGTTGAGAGCAAGGTTCAGGGCTTTCACTGATCCTGATACCCAGCCACGGACATTCCGATTTTTTCCCCGAATATACTGGCTCCAAGCACTCTTTGGGAACTGCAGGTGGTAAATGTATTTGACAGGCTTCTGTGCTGTAAACATCACTCCAGAACCCTTTTGCCAGATGCTCTGCTACCTCTCTCTCCACACTGCTTCGATCACCAGCTGATGTGATGTTAGTGGCTTCCCTAGTGTACAAATCGACCTTTGAGGATGTGTCACCTTGACTTTCAATTTTGTCATTCCCAGCTCCAGTACCTGATACGGTTTTGTCAGCTAAGACTGTGTTGTTTTGCATACTACTGAACTTCAAGTTACCATATTGCTCACAAGTATGTAAAATAGACACAGAATTGAGTACGTGAGATGCAGCAGAGTTTTGGGGAAAAGCAGCAAGATCCATTTTCTCCACAGGACATGACATATTCTGAGTCACAGAATCTCTCTTTGACTCCTCCTTTTTCTGAATGCATTCTTCCCCTTCTTCCATTTTTACCCAAGTCTCTTCACAGTTTGAGACCAGCTGTATAGGTACACACTCTTGAGCTTTTTGTATGCCATCATTATCAGATATTTCCTTATCAGGAAAAGTGGCAAATGGTGGCACCTGAATGTCTTTAATACTGGAATTGGACTCTGAAGTATGAACTTTGTCATTTCCAAAAGCCTTCTGGAATTTCCTATACTTTGGGCACTGGGAAGATAAGCTGGAAACCCTACCCCTTTCTAAATGTACAGGATCACAGTTTTGATTGGCATTATCTTGGAGAGCAGGCAATGATGTAGCATTTTCTTCATCTTTACAGAGCTTTGTGTCAGGAGTTTGACTATATTCCTTTTCCAGAAGTGCTTCTGCTTCATCCTTTATTTCCAGGTCTCCATCATCCGCATTGCCGGTTTTAGAGTTTGCTTTCTGACAACGCTGTGTACAACACTTCTTCCTAGGACATTCCTGCTGATCCAACTTAAAGTCCAAAAACTTGAATTTGAGAAACTGAAAGCAAGACTCTTCAATGTTGCGTACACCCAAGAACTCCGCACATTTGCAAACTTCAGACACATTGTCTTTATTTAAAATAAGTTTAGCTGTATATGCAAACTGAAGCAAAGGATTAAATCCTTTAAGTGTTACCTATTAAAAAAGAGGGAAAATATTAGTATGGTCAATAAGGGTTTAAGTAGAGAAATACACAAACCCCAAATTACCTGTTGCCAGCAGGACAGACTGCAAGACTAAAGCAGCAGATTTGTTCTACAGAGAAAACCTGGCCCAACCGAATTCTGAAGCAATTCTTCTGATACTATTTTATCCTGCACATTTTGTGACAGTTATCTTCTTCACTGTGATCAATCTCTCAATAAAATGTTCTGGCAAAGTAGTACTAAGAAGTAAAAAAATATTGCTGTACACTGAAAACCAGTAACTGGATTCCAATTTCACAAAGATGTCTTTCAAAGCCAAGTTGCAATATGAATTACTGTAGAATAAGATTATGCCGCTGGTATTTAACTGTACCTTTTGAAGAGCAATTACCATTAATCACTCATGCATCACTCATATAAGAAAGTTTGGAAAAATGGAGTTTGACCACATATGATTATTTACTAGTAGAGCCATCAACTCCTTTCTTCCTCCCACACATTAAAAGAATTGCACCCGAAAACTGTACACCAAAACAAATTCTCAGTTTAAAGCCCCCTTGGAGTAGGCAATTTTGATTGAACATTTCTATCTTCACAACAGTTGCCTAGCAGGGAAACCAGAGATAAACAAAAAACTGTGTCATTACAAATTGAACAAGATCTTCTACACACAGAAAAACCCTAAAGAATCAAGTAGGAAGCTGCAAACAGATCACCATATTACAAATTACATGACACTTCTTTTAGCCTTTCTCTGAAAATGAAGGATAAAGCAGGATGTCTACTATTAATACTCAAACTAAAGCCCACATTCTGCTCCCCTCCTTTATTGAAATGAACAACATTTTATGCTAAATAAAGTGCTATATCAATGCATAAACTACATTGAATTCTTCTGCCAGCAAAATAATTAACTTTATAAGCAATTTGATTTAGGAAGCAGTCTAGGGTTTGTTTCTTTGGTTTAAGTGGTTGTTTGCTGTGGTTTTTTTAAAGAACAAAGCCCATGAAAGGAAGTTGAATAAATGTGCACAGAGACAGTTCATCAAAACTTTTTTGAGCTACCTAAAGAATTCTTAAAATAGCGTTTGAAATATGTTCTGGAGAGTAGTCTGGAGACACCACCACACGAATTCATCTTCAATAATGTGGGGAAGTAGAGCATAAAAGACAGTTTATCCATAAGCTCAGTATAGTTAATAAATCATTGAAGTGGGTTTATGCACAAATAGCATTCATAAGTGAAACTGAAGGTATTTTAAAACTGTACATTCTTTCTATTTAAGTAGAAATACTACTAAAAACTGGAAGGATCAAGAGGGAACAAATACTTTACTCTTTTCACTCTCTTTTACACATTTCTAGCTAGCTATGCTCAAACAAGAGAGAATCCTAAAAAGACTTTGTCTGACTGATCTAGAAAAGCAACTCTTGCAGTAGCCATTTATTTAATTTGTATTTGGGATAAAAGTCTAACGCAGAGTAAAAACACTGACAGAAAAAAACAACACAGAACCTACAGTAGTTAGTCTTTACAGTATAGTATATTTCAAGTACTTGAATTCAAAAAATATTTTTGTATCTGAGATTGTTGGCTGGTGTCATTTTAAACTTCAAATATTTCTGATGATTAAAAAGGTTAAAAAAAAATCACATGTCAAACCATGTGATCAGTGTTTGTCTCAAATATGCAGCTTCACAAACTGACCTGTTTCAAAATATTTAGCAGTTCCCAGAAGAGAAGTTCAAGTTGCTGAGTCTTAAAATGTTTTTACCAAGTGATCAGTTCGAGTTATTAAGAGGTCAGATTCACTGTTAAAATTTTTGCTAGTTGTTTCAGCAGATTCAGTTCTTACATCAGTAATGCTAAATACATTAGGAGTCCTCTTAAGTCTATACTACAGTAAATATCAGAATTATGTTTCTACATTTTCTGTACAAACTCTGGTCCCTTCTGACTCAGCTTTATTTCATGGTTTCATTGGCACACTGTTGCTTTGCACCAGAGATTATTTTTCCTCTCTCCAATTTTGATGTACATTTCTTATTCTTTCCCCGAATTTAGTGTACATTTCTTGTTCTTCCAATATGCAATTTTTACATCATCCCAAAGCAAAATTCCCTCTTCAACATCAGAAATTTTTCATGCCACTAATTTCCCTCTTTTATGCCAAATCAAGGCTTTGCATCCCACAGGATCCTACTTCCCTTTCACATCAGCTTGCATCATTACCTTTCTTTTAACCTGAGAGACATTCAGGCTATCAACATATTAAGCTATTAGAAAAAAAACCATAAGAAACGGACATGGACACAGCAAGAAGGCTGTGTGAGTAAAAGCTGACATAGTGGTATTATGCTGTAACAATTTTATAACTAATTCATTGGTGAAGAGAGAATAGCAAAGACCACAGAAACTCTTTAAAGAGAACACTTGATCTCTTCTAGTTTTCTCTGAAAACAGACAGAATCTGGCACAGAATCTTGTGCTTATCTCAGTATTTTACAAAGCCTATGAAGTAGCTACTGAAGTACAGCCTTTCTGAATACATCATTTCTGCATTAACACTCAACTCACTCCTGCACATGAAGTCTATAATGTCACTATAAATATTCACTGATGAGTACCTTTCCTCCAACTTTAATGATCTCAGTTGAGCTGAAAACAATTTGCATGTTATTGCCCACTGCCCAAGCTAATTACCATAAACTACCTCCCAGAAATCCACCTATTATTTAACAACCAACTTTTCTGATTACCACTCCCATTCGGCACAGTTGGAGCACTTGGGAGGTTCTTCACTTCTCATCTACAAGCACAGCATTTCATATTAAAATCCAGTTACTTGTCTCATGCCTCTTACAACTCAGCTTAATAGCAACTACAATCATTAAATGTCTTGGATGCTCCAGATACATAACAATAAATGTTCTTTCCAACGGATGTCAGGTCATGGCTCATTCCCATTGAATGCCTTTAAATTAAATCTAAGAATATGTATTTTAGGGGCATAACAAGTAATTGCAATACATTTTCTTAGTCCTAACACTAATAAGACACAGTAGGGAAAAAAAAAAAAAAATCAGGCTGCTAATGATCAATGTGTAAAAAGGATGGGAAACTGAGCCAAAGAAAACTGTTAACAACAGTAAGCAGCCAGGAATATATGCACGGTTGTATTACTCAAACATACAAAACCAAACCTTAATGAAACCAATTCAAAGGGATTACCATCTTAAGCTTTAATTTATTACTTAAAAAAATATTCTTTTTATATAGAAGAACTAGTTCTGCAATATCTCTTGACCATTTGAGCCCTGCTTTTTGACAAACTTACATCCTTTGGAAGAGGTGCATCATTTTAAAAATAGTATATACTTAATTGAAAAGATCTTCCCTATACATTTCCTGTGACAGCATTCAATTATCTGTGGTCTGGGACAAACACTCATCTGTCTAGCCTTTACCTCAACTAACAGTAGCTTTACAACTTGGAAATTCCTTCCCTTCAGTCCTTAAACCCTTTACCTTAACCTGTCAGTTAAGCACCAGCCTACTGTAAAAGAGAAAAAACAGATCAGAAGCACTGGCAGGTAAAACACAGAAGGGAGTGACACTTACCTCTTCTGGTAAAGTGATGATAAGATCAGCATCCACCTGGCCCACAATTCTTGAAAGGAAGTAACTGCTGCAAGCTGCAAGCACAGCTTTGTGAGCCCGAAATCGCTGATCTTCCACTAAAATTGTAACATCACAAAGAATATCTTGCTTTCTTTGATCATCAAGACTGAGGAGTACATTGGTACTGTGTACTGAAGATTCATATGCAAAAACCACACTGTTGTTCTCTCTTAGAGACATTCTGTATCACAAATGGTAGTGTAAGGCTCAGGGGAAAGCATGCTTCTGTGCTTCAAATCTGGGGGAACAAAAAGCCAAACTGTACACGTGAAAGTCACATCCAACAGGAACCTATCGATACTAAAATACAAGCAAGCTGTTAAACATGCAATGCCTGGTCTAATTCTTCTTCAGATTACTACTCAGTACTTCATACATGTTAATACATAAATACATGCTTGTGACCATCTGAAGTACCCAAAGTTTAATATGTACATCTTCACATTGTTTTTGTAGTCTCACAGACCAAAAAAGGGACTTCAGCAATAAAAGAACAGTTCTTTCCTAGGCATGCGATTCAGAGTCATAAATTTACCATAACACCTCGCAATTATCTAAGTTTTCATTTTTAAGTAATCAGTATATTCTAACTTCAACAATATGAAAATGTAAAGAGAAATAAAACAGATGCATTAAATCAAAATTTACTGAAATACTATGTGAGCTACTTCTGTTTACTGATTCACATAGTACAGACTAAAATATTTGTGTTCTGTCTTCTTTCAAAAGTATTTTGCCTGATAAATGAACCAGGCATTGGTAAAACACTAATTTTCTCTCCAGTAGATTGGTGGTTTTGTTTTAAATTTAAATTTTCCACCTACCTTAATTCCCTATTGCAGCCTTCTTTTCCCCTCTTCTGCTCTTTATTATTTGTCATGTTACAAGTTAGCTTTCCTAATGAATCACTATGATTCAAATCACATGACAATGGAATCTCACCACTTTTGTGACAGACCAAAGTTCTCAAATAACAGTATTCATTGGATAATAAACAACAGTAAAAGTTATACAATATTTATAACTTTGAAATAACTTCAAGACAGTTATATATTAGTTTATTCCTGAACTTCCTAGTATTTGCAAAAAAAAGAAGAGCTGGAGAGAAGGCAGCTCTGCTAGAGAGTGCAAAATCTGACAGCATTTCCAAGTCTGATTTTTACAATGTATCTCTCTTTCAATTGAGTCCTTCCCATTAAAAGGAAGGAAAAAAAGATTACTAAGAAGTGCCCTCACATCTAGAGCTGGATCAAGAAACCACAGTCAGATCTGGAACTATCCAGAAAGGAAAATATATTACTAATGAAAAGTTTTACCTCAACAAACCAAACATTTAGATTACACTTCACTAGTCACCCCAGAGTTTCTGTAACTGAGCGCAGCTGTGGAGACTCAATTCGGCTGACACGGGACTACCCCATCACCCTATTGCTCAACAGAGGCTGTAACCATCTGCCAGCTCCCAACAACAATAAAACTGTAACCAATGTAAATCCTCAAGTTCCAAATGTGGGAAACTTTCACAACATGGGGAGGGCGGAGGACATGGGCACATTTAAACACACTGTGGAAAAAAACCCAAAACACTCAGACTGCCAGCTATGCTCCTGGTTACTCACTACTCAACCTATTTTCATGGCACATAGACATTTTTAGTGAACTTTTGAACAGAAAGAGGGAAGAAAAAGATCCATTTCCAATGGAAATAGTAACACTGCACCAGTTTGGATCCCGGCAAAGTGTATAGCATCAGCATTACCTGCCCTTCCCATTTCCTTATGGAACACTGCACCCTCAACTTCACCAACAGAATGTACAAATGTACTGTGAAAATAAAAGTTGAGGAAAAAACCCCAAAAGTTACACAACTGTGAGCTTTCCCCACTGAGAAGTGGCAGGGGAAAGTCCTATATACCATACACTGTTAACCATAAAGGGCTTGTTTTTGGTAGGAAACAGTTTAAGTGTTTTCATATACTTTATAACAAGATTCATTAACTTAGGAAATACTTAATTTCCAATCAATTTAAATGTGATTAATTCCCCATGAAACTGCTATTCATGACCTTCTATTCTTACAAGACCTTATGAGAAGTAAGCAGTGCAATATAAATTATATATTTCTAATTTGTTTGCTCCATAGCCATAACTTATCATATTCCTCAGATATTACAGCACACACAGTTTAACAAGCTCTGTATTTGTTACAAGAAGGTAAAAAAAAAACACAGCAAAAAGGAACAGGGCAAAATGAAAAAGGTGAAGACTAAATCCAGGGTGGTGGGGAACACAGGGAAATATTATAGATGAGGACATATTTTGGGTGAACACCTCGGCAAAACTCATGAGGGAGATTACAGCTACAGACAAGCCTTTAAATGTCTTTTAAGAAAGAACTCTCAGACAGATAGCACATGTATCATATATGCTGCTTTTGGTTTTTCCCTTATAATCAGTTCCAATATTCAATTCAGTTCATTACACTTCCACAGCATGGAAGGCTAAAAGGAATACTAGTTCCTTTTAGCAATGTATGCAGAGAACACTCAACCCTCCTTTTCACTTATCTTCACAAGGCACACACCATGTTTTCAAAACAGCTTGTGGAGTACTTGAAACACTGATAGAGAGCTTCCAGTGTTGCAGCTGCCAAAAAAATCCCCCTAAAAAGCAGCTTTCAGCAGTCAAACACCACCTTCTGTTACTTGAAAAGTGAATTAAATATTTAGTTTGAGCATAACTCAATTTAACACGTTACTCTGATAGAATGTTGTACTTTCTAATGTGAAGATTTCATCAGCCAAGTTACGTTCCTGCTATATTTAAACAGAACGAAAGGTTTTTTGAGGCATTCATAATATATAATGCAGCATTTAATAAGCATTTCAAATTTTAAATGAACCTTTAAAAAAGACCCAACCCCCCCACCTCTACACTACAATCAAACATGAAATTTCTCTCAGTCTTCTTTGTAAAATCTAATTACTGTCATACAAGATAAAAAGAAATCAAAAGCAAAAGAACCAGAAAACTGAAAGTGCTGGTGAAAACAAAAAGCATCAAACAGGAAAGGGAAAATATAACCACTGTAAAAAGCTGTAACACTTAAGAGAAGTAACATTACTACATTTATGATAGTACCTGTCATGACAGCCAACTAGATTTTCCACTGCAGTGAGTACAAAATAACTTGCCTATAACTAGATATTTTTAAAGACATATCCACAACAAGAATACTTACTGTTACACCAAAAAGTACATCTCTTCTGTAAACTGTTTAATTTCTCTTCTACCCTAACTGTTCTTCTAGAACACTGAGAATTCTTAAAATTAGTTTTATCTATGGATGGATGGACAAAAGATGGGGAAAGGTATGAAGCAGAGAAAACAATTCAATAATGCTTTTTAAAGAAGTTTTATAAAACTTAAAAGCTCATGCTACAACTGTCCTATAAGGACAGGCCCTTCTGGGCTTTTTTGTCCATTTTACATAATTTAATTTTCTATAAATATTACTTATCAGATTTTTTCCACTCTCAGATAATTCATATGTAAGCAGCAACAAATTACTAAGGAAAACTGACACTACAAATAAGACTATTTCCTTGTAAACCAGCCTAAAACTCCTCTTCTATCATACTATTTTTATTTTAAAAATAACATTTAAGTAAAGAAAACTAAGAGTAGGCACAAGTAACTTGTAAAAGTATTCCAAAATCCAGCAGATAACTATACATCTAAATCACTCTTCACTGAGTGTCAACAACCACATGACTGAATGCAAAAGATTCTAAACCCCCCCCCCAACATGCAAGAATATTCATTAAGATATTTGTTACAGCCATTACCATCAAAAATATGGGAAGCCCAAAAAGATCTTCCAAAACTTAAAATAGTCCTTACAGTAGAGGTTGAAAGGATTAGAGAAGAAACAACATGAAAGCTCACTAACTACAAATAATCCTCAGTTAATGGAAGAAAACTAGTACTGTGAGTACAAGAGCGTTCCTCAAATTCCTCTCACCTGAAACTCTGCACACCTAATAACCTCATACTCTTGAGAAGAGGCACAGAAATGAAAAAAAAAAAAGTGAACATAAACAAACACACATTAGTATAAAAACCACATAAACACTTGCAATTCAATCAATCAACACAACCAAGCATGCTAATATGAAGTTTTCATTCTTTCTCAGGCAGTGATTTTGAGATAAATAACATTTTGCCTAAGGACATTCATTCATGACACCTTCTAAGCACTGGCTATAAAACTTTATTCTGGTTTACTGAAGAGAAGTAACTCAATTTTTTTTTCTCTGTACTAGCATACAATTGTGGAAACTATGCCCAACAGTCCCGTAAAATTACTGCATGTTCAGTAAATGTAGACATCTCCACATCCAATTGACTAGATATATACATAGTTATTTTTAAAGAACATATAAAATACTTAATGAAAATCAGTACTGCAAACACATTTAAAAAAAGAATACAGATTTGCTTAAGTACACAGTATAGAGACCAGAGCAAGAAGCCTATCAAGACTCATTGTCAAATACAGATCTCATCCAAGGGGATGCCCTCCAAAGATACTCTTCAAGGCTGAGCAAAAGAGATCTCCCCTCAAGCACTGGTATGGGTAGGTTACATAAAATCTCTACTTAACAGTTATTTCTTTTTGCTAGCTTTAATATTATTGCTTTAATATAGTGCACTATCTTATATCACACTACTGGTAGTTTTAGCATTTATATCGTATAGTAAAAAATTCTGATTAAGATTTTTTGTCTGATCATTTGTAATAATAAATGACTCATTTTATATAAATATTCTCATTTTGCCAATCATTAAAACCTGTAGGACAAAAGTGGTTCAATCACACCTCTGTAATTCCTTAAATTTAAACATTTGACACAAATCTGTGGCTGATTAGATTCAGCCACACTTAGACTCCTCTCTGAGGAGAAGTTTAGAAAGCAAGGGAGTCCTTTCTGCACCTCGTGACTCAGCAGCAGGGCTTTTTTAAATAAATTTTGCCTAAGCCTTCCACTCCCACCCAAGACAAACTGGTGTAGTCAGCAGGATGGCAAATTTTGAGAAGCAGACAAAAAGCTTAACAAAATTTTTATGGAGGCACAACATTGCTGAAAAAAAAAACAACCAGGGACCTGGTAAAAGAAAAAAAAAACCTGGTAAGGGAAAAGGTTTCACAACTGAATTGCCAGAGAGCTGAAGCTGTAGAGAAAGGAGATAAGCTAATTCAATCTTTGTTTAATTTGGCTGAATCTTTGGCTGAAAACTTGAGAAACCTGTTCAACAGGTTGTCTCTTAAATTCAGACAATCCATACTCCTGGAAAGTTTTGTACTGCATTTCACAAAAAATGCTATATACTTTTGAATAACATACATAAATATAGAAATCATGTATTATATAAATAATACATAAATTTTTATATGAGATAGTAAAGTCACAATAATAGAACCAGTAAAAGCTTTTTACAATCGGTCTTCCTAGTAAACCACTCCTGAAAATCCGAATTTGACATACTACCACTTTCTCAAGTATTTAATGCAGAGAAGTAACCTTCACTACACAAAGGACAGCAAAACACACAACGTATGGATACCGACAGAGTGTTCAATATGAGCATTTGCTTTTTTTTTGTGCTGTTGAGCCCAAACTTCACAATGTGCTATCATGAATAAGTCCTGGTTGAAAAGAGCTGATAACAAACAGAAATCCCATTCAAAGGGGAAAGTTATACAGCTAACAAGAAGCAACAGCAATGAGATGCAGTTGTTAAGACAAAATTCAGAACATTAGAACAATAAAGCAACTGTAATATCATTAGTCAAAATAGCATTAACTCAAACATTAACACCAGCAACAACTATCCCAAATTATTGTCACTTATCCAGATGTCCACTGGACAACTACCAAAGAATTCCAGCTTTGCTTTGGAGAATTTCTAAAACATGAATGCTTTGTCCAAAATATTTTATTAATAATTAATGCCAAACATACAAGATCATAAAAATCAATCTAAATACATAAACCATACTATTAATTAACTGCATTGAATAATAGTAAGAACTTCTTTAAACTTTGAATGAAGACAGACAGAATATCTTGTATTTTGCATCAGTGTTAGGAAATCTCCCAAAATGCCATATAGTTTACAACCAAGCATTCTGCTAACTTAGAAAACGAGTCAGGTAACACCAATTCTGTATGCTTATAGCTGGTTTACTGTATACTTGCATCACTGTTTCTGAACAAAGACCATAAAAGTAACAGCTGAAGGTGTTCCTGTCTGCCTATAACAGCTGCCAGGACCTTTACCACAGAATAACATACATTAATTCAGCTAACAGAGGTAAATTTAGAATCCTCAAACACCACAAAACCAAAAGGTTGAGATTTCAGCATACAAAGGGGTATGATTTACATCTAAGGAGAGTGTTTTGAACATTGATTCAGCTGACGCTGGAATGATCTGCATTAGAAGAAAATTCACAACTAAAAAGAATGAATGAGTCACAGAAATGAGCTCCATGAGCTCTGAGACTCTAAGGCAAACAGCCAAAGAATAATAAAATGGCCCTTAAAACCGGATACAGATTTGAGAGTGCAATTTGCTGCCCCTTCTGCTTCTATTTACATTATGATACCTGTGGTTTGTGTATAGTTTTACCAAAATGCTTTTTGAACATTCTGAGTTTGAATGTTTCAAGTGTCCTGAAAAATATGAAATCAGAACACAAGAAACCCATGGAAATCAATAATGGTCATGCCTCTATTACTTTGAAGGCTTACACTTTCAGGAAAAACATAGCTGATTATAACTTACAGTCTTAACACTTGGCACTAAATCCAAGGACCTGGAAGAGAAAATCCAGCATCTAATGGTCACCAAGATATAATGGGAACCCCAAATTCAGAGGCAGCATTCATCCCTACATTTGCTCCCCACACATCAAAGTTTATCTTCCAAATCCTTTTTTCCCCCCCTCCAAACTACAAGTTTTTGGAGACAGCAGATGGAAGAGCAGCGTAGACTGGAGAAGGTTTTGATACAGAAATTGTTTGATACTCTTTCTCTCCTCCTGGAAAGCTGAGAACCAGCCACTCCAGGAAGCTGAGCAGAGCTGGTTCTGCCATCCAGCAGGACCTCACTGTGCCTGTGCAGGACCAGTAATCTCCTCATCACCAGATGAACTTTGAAGAAAGGACTCATCCTAATGCACCCAGATTCAATCAAGTCTAGCATCCAAACCTAACAATTGCCTTTCAAAGACTCACTGTCAAATAAAACACAGGAGTCTACCTTGTTACCATCAACAGTTAACATGCCTAAGAGCAAGTGGGGCAATAAACCAGAAAAAAAAAAAAAATTGACCTGTGGTCCTTCTGTCTTAAGCTCCACTAAGACAGCCACGGTACTAGCAAGAACCAAGCAAAACCACATCAGCTACAGGAGTTACATCCTGTGAGGTCACTGCTTTCTCTTAAAGAGCAACAGCCGCTTATTTTCCATCAACAAATAAATCCTTTTCCAATATTCCTATAAAGAAGAGCTAACCTTTAATTACTAGACTCTGATATCAATTATACAGTCCTACTATGCAAATCAACTCAGTTTACACACATTTGGGTTTTTTTTGATCTTCACCTACCATAAACTTCCTGTATGAGATCCAGCCAGAAGTTACCCAAATTACTAAAAATGTAAACAAAACCCTGTTCCTTCGTCTTTATTTAGTGAACAAGCATCCACTAATGCCACACTGGATATCAATCCTCTGTAGCAAGCACAGTCACAATGACACATCACAATGTCATTTGCACACAGGTAAAGTTCTGAAATAAGAGAGAGCACAGTGCAAAGCTCCCCTTCGTAGTAGCTGCAGAACACGGGCAGGACACCCCTTGGCTGTCACTGCTATCTGAGCTGGCTGAACTTGGATATCCGGATGTAAATTCAGTTGTGCTATCATGATAAACTAGCAAGATTAATTTATCACCTAGCAAACAATAAAGGTCTGTTCAGTTATCACCATGCTTATAATGCATCTGTATTCTTGGAACACTTTAAATTCTTGAATAGTTGGAAAAGAGACAATTGTAGATCCCCAAAATATAGCTTGGAGAAAACACCCTCGTTGCTATCCCTAACTCTTACGCTGACCTATTGAGTAAGTTGCAGCACGTCACTCATGTCTGCCAATTCTCTTAGGGTTGACACATTTACTTTAGCCTACAAAAAAATTTCTGTCATCTGCAGATGTGAAGTCCAAAGGGACAACTATCATTTAGATAGTCTGTCACAAGATAGCTTAGATAAGAGACAGTTTATTCAAAATACACTGCACAGGCTTTTTTTCTAAAGTTTTATCTCTCTGTCCTTGCCCCCAGCTCTCTCTCCTTTTAAGGAAATAGTTACATTACAGACAAAAGCCTACAGCAATTAATAGCTGCTGATTCACATTATGCTGACAAAGAATGAACAAGCGTTTTGGTGTTCATGCTCATTGCTTCTTCATCTTTAGTTCAAAAAGACTGTAACAGAAAAAAAAGTGATAAAAAAGCAAAAACTAAGCTTTGCTGCCCGGAGAGCAATGCTTTCTCTTTCAGAAAAAAGTACATTTAATCTTCAGATATTAGCACACTCATAATTCTAAATTGTATTCTTTATTTATCATCCAGTCTAACACCTGGATGAT